ATTAAACAGAACAACCTGAGTCTAAATAAACAAGTTTGCCAAGTGCGTTTCACCCAGACCTTTCATCCTTCTGCCCTGCTGCTGACTTTGTGAGTGCGAGTGAAACCTTCCACATGACTCTGGAAGGTTTAACATCCCATCAGTCTGTCCTCCTTTACTATTTAGACAGTTGGGTCCAGAATCTTTAAAAATCATGTAAATATATAAAACACATAAATCCTTTTGCTTTGTAAAAAAGTTCTTGGGTTCATAAAAAGAACTCACTCCGGGGTTCTTTTAACTGGAGGTCTCCAGAATTAAGTATAAAATCACTTTAAGTATTAACTAGTTCACTAAATAGCCCAAAGCCAGAGAAACTTAAAACTAGGTTGTGTGACATACTGCCAGCTGAAGATCAACTGGGAGTCACTACATGTCACAGTGTAGATCAGTGTGGATGGAACGACATTTGTAACCAGAGTTGTCCAGCTCACCTCTCCCCTTAGAAGTTCAGCTCTATCTGGGCTTTCTGATAATGAGTAGAAATGTCCAGTGGAGCACTTTGCTGCACCATCAATTGCCTGCCCAATGGTGATTGTGCTTTGTTCTCTTGAAGCCATTTGTCATGGGATCTCGGCTAAGGCTTTATCATATTGATGAAAAGGACAAAAAGCTTTGTTGAAAATTTTATTATTTTGGAAAACCACCCATTGGGCATGGGCTGAGTGCCTGATGGGAACACCAACCGCCCCTCACACCCTGCACCTGTCCCTTGCAGTACTGCAGAGTGTCCCGCGGGTGGCACAAAACACCTCCTGTCCTTAGACTGTCAGGACACTCCAGGCATTCCCTTCCCCATTCCTTCCCTCTTTTCCTCCTTTCCGCCCTTCTCCCTCTCCCTTCTCTCTGTTCCTCTCTCTCTTCCTTTATTCATTGATTTGTTAAATATCTATGGAAGTCTAAAGCTGAGCTCTATGCAAGATCTACTTAATATTACATACATAATAAATACATAATAAATGCAAGAAATACTCCTGTGCTATGGGGAATTATGGCTGGGGTAAATATTTGTTCAGTATCTTTGTGAACACCAGTAAAAGAGTACAGCTCTGTCAGGATTGAAAGAGCAAAAATCATCTTGGACTGAAAAGACAAAAAAGCAGCCCTGCTGTTCACCAGGCCTGGAGGACATTCAGACAAAACCAGTTGCCAAGTCCACCGGCACCGCCTTTCTGCCAAGGTCAGGCTGCGGCAGGAAAACACCATCATGTCCACCTCTAAGTGACCGCTGCTTTCTTACCCCTGATGCCCCAGTCCCACTTCCATTTTTGACTAGGAACATCAAATGCAGAGCCACCTTGCTTCATGATGGTATCCAACCCAGAGGTGATCTGAACCCACTACTAATCCCGCCCCTGAAGCCACAGCCAGGACACCACTGCCCGCTTCCCTGAGACCCTCTTCAGATCTGGCAGCAGAACCTGGACCTTACAAAAGAGGCTTTGGTCCTCCCTCTCGGGATCAGCATTCCCCAGATCTGCCAGTGTCCTCCTGAGCAACCAACCAATGGGACTGTGAGACCACAGGGCGCCATGGCCCCTCCCCACTCTGATAGCTCTTGCCTCTCAGGCCAAGGATCTTCAAGTGTGTCTACTCTAATTACACACCTGGGGCCAGGGAAAGGATCACAGGGGTGTCAGAGAGCCAGTGGACCCACGGGGAGCTGGGTCTAAGCGGGACGCATTTGTTACTTGGTCCTCATACCCCACGGAATGCCAGGATGGCATTCCGTGTGCCTGGGTAACAACACAGACTTGGACCCTGTGTTCAAGAGACCTGGCAATGTGAAGTGTTCCTCTCTGCCTGGAGCACCGTTAGCTGAATGAATGGCTGAAGGTACCTCTGGATAAAAGGCCAGGGAAAACGGCAGTGTCACAGTCTCCTTCTTGCTGGGAGCTGGTCTCCATTCCTTGAGTTCTGGGTCTGAAACTGAGATATGGAAACTGAGCAAAGGAATGTGAATTTTTGTTGGTGGGGTGGCTCCCCTTTGCCTCTTGATCACAGCTCCTTGATCCCTTTCGGTGGTACAGACTGAGAAGCCCCTTGCTGGCTGTCCATCTATTTTGCCCAGGGACACCTTGTTTGATAACATTCTTGTAACTACCTATGGGTCAGATGCACTCCCCACCGCTCCCTCAGGCACTGCCACACTTCACGGTAGCAGTTCACCTGGCTTCTGGCACTTAAGCGCAGTCACGTGGCCTCCCCTGCTTTAGAATTCTATAAACCCAACTGCCATCAGCAGGCTGGGCTCTGTAATGGCCTTTCCTATCAGCAGCTCCGGGATGGGTTTTAGGGCTACTGGTACTCCTTTCACCAGGGCCCCCTTCCCATCTCCTGGGGTCCTTACCAGCATGTTAAATATATCCCGAATCCTAGGAGATTACTCCCAAATTGATCAGCTCTCTTATTCATCTCTATTCCAGTCCCTTTGACGAAGCACCTCAGAATCCCATCCTAGGCACAGATAGCCTCCTGTCACAAGCACGCGTGGGCTGGGTCTTATGGCTCCATTGAAGGCAAGCTTCCCCTCGCCTCCCATGATCAGGTTGAGTTGAGGCAGGGTATTGTGATTTAGCCTCAGTCACGGGCTCGGCGACCAGGAGGGTCGGGGAAGCCTGAAGGGCTCACGGTGTTGGCCCCTGTGGGAAAGAGCCTATGTCACCGCTAAGCTACCCCTGTAGGTTCAGAGGCTCAGGAGAATTCGAGTATTCAAAACTTTCAAGGGCTTTTTGTTAGCGATCAATTGTCTATAGCATCTTACCTTTTACTGAAGCATCCATCAGCCTTAGCAATAGCCACCCAATTCCACTGTCCTTCTTCACAACTATTACTCCATGTTCGTCAAAGGCCCAATACATGAACTAGTGCATTTCCCTACTGGTGACCATCACAATTCACCACCGGTGAGAGTTTTAAAATTAGATGGCTGCTTCACACCAGGGGCTCTCTAGCCAGTAATGGAGTTCTTGCCACAGAAGGTGGTGTGTGACCCAACCCCAGAACCACACTTCACCACTTGATTTCTTGGCCCACTCGTGGTATGAAGCATTGCAAGTTGGCTCGAGGGACGCAGACTCTGGGACAAAAGTTTAGCTTGTGGGATATTCATCAAGGGGTGCACTTGGGAATAAAACCTGTGGGAGTCATATCTAGGCAAGGAAGACAAGGAGACAAAGGGAGACACTCAACTGTATGTACTGTGGACACAATTGCACTCTATTACTTTGATCAGTCACTGAATGTGAGTTTCCCCAGGAAGGCATGTAACTTTGGGTGAGGTGGTTCTCTAAAGAAACTGACAGTCAAAAGCTCTCCCAGCAGGTGAGGCCACTAGTCTTGCACTGAAGGGGACCTGGGCCACATATATCACTGGTGCCCACTATGGACAGATATGGCATGTAAGTAAAAAATAAACATTTGCTGTTAAAAGACAATGAGATTGGGTAGGGGGTCGCACCATGTAATCTACCCTGACTGATACATCTGACTTCCTGCTCAAAGTAAGAAAAAGATCTCACATCTTCAGAGTATAAAAAGAAAGCTGCTCTGCAACCACACGCTTTTTCTTTCTTAAACTTGATTCAATAGCCATTCTCAGCACACACAGGTGGGTGAGGCAGACAATTTTTTTCATACCTCCACATCCTTGGTTAGTTTCACCAAATTCCCTGGCTCAGGCCCCAGTCTGCTGACACAGTCACTGGGTCTGCAGGGAGGCCCAGGGAGGGCACTGAGATGGGCCACAGGGCTGAGAGTGGGCAGATTTCTGGGTAAAAAGTCAAGGGTTAAAATTTAATTTAATTTAAAAATTCAGTTCCCCAGCCACTCTAAGCGTATTTTGCGTGCTCAATAGACACCTGTGGCTGAGGTCTACTGTATTGATTAGCACAGGTAAACAACATTTCCATCATCACAGAATGTTTTACTAGATGGTGCTGAACGGTTTAAGATTAGTCACTACATGAGATATCTTGGAAAATTCTTGAGTCTTACAGCTCTTATATAAAAGCATCTCAATTTAGGTTTTTCTAAATTTTACAACAATCCAAATAATTTAAGTGATATTGCCAACAACTTGTAAAAACTGAAAGAATTTAAGTACCATTCTCTCTTGAGGGATTAATTAAAAATTGTCATAGAAGAGATCATCACAGTATATGCAACCAAAAAAAAAGTATTTTGTAATGAGTGTGGTATCCCAGCTTTAAAAAATTTCAATTTACTCCTTTTAAAATTCTAAATAAACACACATATTCATACCTAACTCTGTATTTGTAATTTTATATTTTTTTCCTTAAGAAGTACTATTTCACCCTGCCCTTCCCCCCGCCCCCCCCCCACACACAAAAACTATACAAGCTTCAGTTATAAAATCTTTTCTTCCTTGGATAAAACTGATCTTAAAAAGTAATTTTTGTTTTTAAGGCAAAGTCTCCTCCCTTACTTTTCTACTAATGAACTAAGCCGGAACAGCCCCGCATCTGTACTGGGCTGAAGAGTGTTCCCCTAAAATTCACATCCATCTAGAACCTGTGAATGTGACCTTCATTGGAAATAAGGTCTTCGAAGATACAATCAAGTTAAGATGTGATCATGCTGGATTAGGGTGGGCCCTAAATTCAGTGACAGACACAGATACACACAGGGAGGAAGGCCAGATGACGACAGAGACAGAGATGAAGTTACGCTGTCACATGTCAAGGACTGCCGGCTAGAAGAGACAAGACAGAACTCTTTCCAAGGCCTTTGAAGAAGGTGTGGCCGTGCCGACACCTTGATTGTGAACTTCTAACCTCCAGAACTGTGAGAGAATAAATTCCTGCTTTTTAAAGTCACTAAGTCTGTGGAAATTGGTTGGAGCAGCCATAGAAAACTAATACAATATCCTATACATTAATTCGATCTAATTTCCGGTCATTCTACTCTATTACTTGGGTGAAATTACTTATTAAAGAACATTTACAACACCATATGTTTTATTTACTCCAAATATCACACATTAGATATACAATTCCAATGAATGAAAATGAACAGTACAAGAATACACAAAGTAAATATTGCAACATTTCAGTCTGCCCTCACTTAAGCAGCAAGAAATGCCAAATATGGTTTTTACATCTTTAACCCTGACTTGAACTTAGGAAATAAAAGGAAGGCAAGAGGAACAATCTACATTATATGAATGTAATAACACATTGCCTATTGCTAAATAGGTAAAAGCATGGTTTTTAAGTTTATCTATATCAACTTACTTGTTCAAACCTGCTCTTCTAATAGAAAAAATACACATCAAATTTTTAACTGATAAAATCATTTCACGACTAAAGATCAAGATGCTAATGACACATCCCCTATTAGCATGGAACAGCAATATACAAATAGAGCTTTACAACCTATCAACTTTTTTTTTTTTTTTCTCCAGAGTTCAGGGGAAAATTGTGTGTATTGGGGATGGGATGGAGTAAGCTGGATGAGAGGTAAGATAAGCCAGTCATGGATCACACTGTTAGCAGTGCAATACTTGACCACACCATTCAAGTTACAAGAGTAGTTATGTAACGAAGGTCCTAACACAATGTTGTCAAATGATCCCTAAAAGTGAAAGGCTAGAGAAAATCTAGGTGGCAAACTCCATTTGTCCTAAGGGCTACATATGCCAACTTAGCCTTATGATCTGGGCAAACCTCCTCAGTGTGTTGTTATGACTGGGTCTGACCTTTCCTCCCGGGACGTCACACGCCCAGGGTGCCCTGCTCTGCAGGGCTGTCCCTCTGCTGCAGGACTGCTGCAGTGCTTCTGCACACACAGGGCTGTGCCCGCAGGCCCGGGTCGCCCCTCTGCAGAGATACCTACTCATTTGGAGAGTACAGACCTCTTAGAGAGTCTGTTGCCAAAATGCTAGAACAAGCTTGTTTAATCGTGGGTTGGTATCTTTTTTCATATTTTGTGACACTTTTACTGACTAGGGAGAGATTGTTCTTCCTGTTGAATTCTTAGAGATAGCAGGAAGGACGCCTTTCACATGAAAAGTAACGAATCCAGAGCCCACACTCTGAGCCACCCTCTCTGCCTAGCACTGACACTGCAGGGCCAATACTCCTGGGCCCTGATCCCCCAGGACTGACACCAGACAACTAGGGACCCCCTGAGAGCCCAGAGTTCACCAACATTACATTACTCAACCTCACCAGTTCTAAGCTGCTTCCATTGCTCTGCCTTCCTCACAGAAACACAACGAAAGGTCTCCACCCTTCGTCCTGCTTCTACTTCCTGAGTGGCTCTGGGGCTTCCCCATATGGCCCACCTGTTGCGCCATGCCTCTGTTTCCAGTGGACTATCAGTAACAACAAACTTTTTTTCAACAGCATTAACCTCTCCGTATTGTCAGTCACCTTTATAAATTAAGGCACTGGCACAAATCCGAGCTAATGTCTCAAGCTCGACTGAATGCTATAGTGACACTTTAATTTCTTCTTTAGTTTATGCTACTGCAATATTCTAATACTTGATATTCTAATGTTCACATAAGAGCAGATCCACTACTAAAAGCTACTTCATAAGATTCAGGGGATTTTCGTAAAGTTTTTTTAGCAGTTGAAAGGTGAAAGTTAAGGTGATAAGTTAGGGTGAGGAGCTGTAAAAGTGAAAAGACCTTCGGGAGTGAATGGTTCAGAACTTAGTGTCCAGCCCTGGTAGAGAGGCGCGATGCCCAGCAACAGCCAGGGCTGTTTCCTTCGTGTGTGTGGCTGGCACAGCTCACTCCACTCATTTGGACCTAGAACCTGAAGGGGCCTTTCAGTAGGGACAGTGCTAAGGAGGAAGGGCTTCTTGCTGCCACTGCTACCTGAGTTAAAAATGGGAGGCAGGGACAGCCCCACCCTGTCCTATTGGCGTACTGGGAGAAAACCAAAATCTCCTGCTTTGAACAACAAAAAATACGACCTGCATTTATTTTTCGCTATCTTTTTTGTATCTTTCACATTCCTTTTTTTAACTATTTGATAGATAGCATCTAAATTTTAAAGAGTGGTATTTAACTGAAGTAATTTAAGCGGTAAGAGACAACACAAAAGGAGAAAGGAAGAAGAAACAGATGAGTACTTTTTAAAAAGCAGCTTAAAAATCATGACTTCTAAGTCAGACAATGAGATATTGAGTACAACAACTGCCAATTGAGATACAACTTATTAAACAGTTTTGTTTTTTGTTTTTTGGTTTTTTTTTGGTCTGGGTGAGGGGAAGGGGTAGTTAGAAAAGAGAGGACATCTTTTGTGGTCATAAAAATGGGATAATACTCAAAAATTTGATATGTAAATTGATAAAAATGATTGTGGTTACATGGATAAAACTTATATTTTTAAATTGTTTTCATTAGGAACTTAAAAAAATATATTCTAACTTTCTGAAGACAGGGACAGAGGAGATATGATACCCTAAAAATCTCATGGGCTTCCAGAATACTGCCTGCCAGGGTATCAGCTGCATTTCAAAGACACAGGCAGAGATAGAATTATGGGTCAAGACACTTAGGGGTGTGAAGGGAAATGCCAAGCAGAGTGTACCACAGTTCAAGTGTGTACTTGAGGAAAGGTTTCCCCCTGCACCGTCCTTACTCTAATAGATGCTGTTTTTATTCTGATGTGAGGAGAGCTTTAGTGCTGGAACATTTTCAGTAAAATTAAACTGGAATGCTCTGACTTTGAAGGAGAGATTACACTATTTTCTGAGAAATCCTTAGAAATGACATCTCCACCATAGAAAAGTGGTGTGGTTGGCAGGGCAGGGAGAAGAAAGGGCACTGTCCTGCTTTAACTAGATTTGCAGCAAACTGGTGTTTGGGTCTCTTAAGTTTGTACGAGGAAGCTTCCTTCATAATATGGCTTGGGATATTATTTCCTTGGTTTGACTTCCCAATAAATAACGTAGCCTAAGTGCTTAGGAAGTACCCACCTACTCCCACTTTGCACTACGTGGAGGTGGGATCCTGGACAGAGTGTGAGGTGATCAGTCATTCCCTCTGTTTTTAAAAAACAAAAACAACAAAGGTTTTTGTTGCTCCAGTCTGCATCATTACAGCTGAACAGGCTTTTATATAAGAATACTCAGAAGATGACTCAGAAAGAAGCAAACAGAATCAGGAAGGGATAACTTAATGGTTCTGGTTAAAGAATGTGAGTTATGACATTTGAAGAGTGGGGCTGAGAAAGCTATAGCTCCTGGTTGTTATGGAAAAAGCCCTAATACTCTGAGTATAGAAACTTCAGGGAGGATCCTAGAGAAATTATGACAGCGTGGTTATTTAGGCTCCCCAAATAAAAACAGCAATGGTAACTACCCAGATATGGTTTTCAGGTAGAAAAAGACTTCCTAAAAGAGGAAGAGACTGGTCAACACATAGCTGTTTTCATGAACCATTTCTAATACAAGTCTTCTGGCATGCTAGACCAAGTGTTTTCTTCTTTTAAATGATCAGGTTAGTTTATAATGCCTAAGAAAGCTGAGTACTACTTTTAATACAGTACATGAATAAAATCTTCTAGAAATCACTTGGCCAAATGGCCTTTAAATCATGTTCAAGATGAGATCTAAAATTCACAATTATGCAAGGCACTGGAAATATCTGATTGGAAAATACTATCAAATTTTCTAGGTCACACGAGTATAGTATTTTTCAACCTCCATGATGAAACTCAATTATAGCTATCAAAAACTACGATTTTTAAAATTACGATTATAACGTCTTTCTAAAGCATGATGAATTGATCAACTACCATTTAGTATTATGACATATCTTTTAAAACTTAAAAATCTTATGCCTTGAATAAATAAAGAGAAACTCACATCTGTAGGTTGCTCCCTGTCACCTTTCACTTAAGAACACCCACCACATGGTCCAAGAAGCCAACTAAACGTACCAGCTCATTAGGTCAGTGAGAATAGTTCTATATGTCGGGTTCGAATGGTTATTCCAATCAATGTTACCAACATGCATTAGAGGTTGCATTAGAGGTTGGAAGTTATGTGTATTGTTCTTTAATGGATAGTACCTGCTCTGGTCATTGGAAACCATTAGCGCGCCCCACCCCCGCCCCCGCCAAAAAGCAATTTTTAGGTTGATGTTGGAGAAAAACTTGCTGAGTATTTACATCCCATACCAGCTTCCCACTCCTTGAAAATCCTCCTGGTATATTTTCCTGGAATCCATAGATTCCCATTTCATAGCAGCTTTTTAATATCTGTATATACTAGTGAATGGATGGATGGTGAATGCAAATTTACTGATGGGCCTAATTTCTAATCCAAATCCTAGTAGAAAAAAATAACTATTTCCTAAATGCTCAGTAGCATTGACTCCATGAGACAAGGAAGGGTGTGCTTTCAAGGGCTGGTTTGTACATTTCATATCCCAATGCACATAGTTTTAACTCATGTTGGCTCACTCTTTATTGTGTATAAATACTATACTGGCCTCAAATATTTCTATATCCCAGGTGTACCTTCTTGTATGTTGACACCTGATTACAACGCGCAATTTACAACATCTTGAACTACTGCAGGATATAAAACACAGTTCTCTCCGGTGGCTACTGCTTCTTGGGTAAGGCTTAATTTTGGCTCCTGCGCTGAACAGTTGGTTTGATTCCTCAGTTTCAAAGACAACTTCACAGTGACACACAAAGCCTAAATGAATTTTTAGTTAGCCTATGCTCTAAGAAATCTACTTCCAGATAAAAATGTGGCTTCCCTCTTCTTGTTTGGCCCCTGAAGCATGCTGTTCCCATCAGGTGTAGCAAGGTGCTGTGCTGGGGAGGGAGTCCTTCTTTCTTGCAAAACCTAAACCACATTAAACCACCTGTGGCGTCCATGCTGTCAGGGAACTGCAAGCCAGAAGTATCTGCTTCAAAGAGATTTTCTTAGGTTGTTTTGCAACCATTGGCTCCATTCAAATGTCAGGCTATCCTTATACAGAGTCAGATTCCACCAGGCACAGACTTTTAACTTTTAAGTAGGAGTCAATGTTTGCTAAGTGTTCCATTTCATAACCTATTAACAAGCATTTTACAAAGCGCCATGAATGGGATGCTGCTCGTCGATGCTTGGCAATCCTCATGGAAGTACGAGGGCTTCCAGAAACCTTGACTGGAAAGAGAATCAATTGTTTCTCTCTCTGCTATTAACCAGCTCTTGCCGACTATTCATCTTATGTGTGATGATGACTAATATTCGTCTAATGGCGAGCAGACGCTCCTTAAGCGAGGTCATGCCAAGTATAGCCAGTTGAGCCTTGCGTTCCAATGGCAACGCTGCCAGGATCGACCAGGACCAAGTGGGACCACTAGGATTGCTCTGCAAAAAAAAAAAAAAAAGGAAAAAAAAGAAAAAAAAAAAGGAAAACATGAAATTATGGCCTAAAATACAAGCCTGTTCCCCCAATATTATCTTTTGTTTCACCAACAGAAATATGAGCAAGAATTAAATGTCAACTCCTAATTTAGGTCTACTTCACAATGCATTCAGCCCTCAAATTACATAGTTTTTATTCTTATGTTACACATTTAAATGTGGGAGAACTCACTAAAGAACTTGTAAAGAAAAGCATCACCAAATGGAGAAATTCTAATTAGTTGATTCTGTTCTTCAAGGAGAAGTCACCAGTCAGAAGAGACCATAATTTTTACCTCCTCTTACCTCCTCTTTTGTGTTATTGTTTCTTAAGTTTTAAAAACTCTATATAAAGCATAATATGACAAAGGTTAAAATTTGTGTATAAGTGTTATAACTATTATAACTAATCTTATAATACAATCAATGTAACAAACGTGCATATATATGAAACATCTATATGTACGATGTATTATTAAGTTGACCCTTGAAGAACACAGGTTTGAACTGCCTGGGTCCACTTATATGTGAATCTTTTTCAATAAATACCTGTACTGTTTTCAATCCTTGGTGGGAGTGTGTGGTTGTGGCAGACTGACTGTGTGCCTTGGTCTACATTTCATACAAGGGACTAGAACAGATTCTAGTATCATGATAGGGGGCGGGGTGTCTTGGAATCAATTGACAACAGATACTAAGGGACAACTTAAGTTCTGGGGGAGTCAAAAGTTGTATGTGGATTTCTGACTGCACAGAGAGTTGATGCCCTTAACTCCTGTGCTGTTCAGAGTCTAGTATGTGTGTGTGTGTGTGTGTGTGTGTGAGAGAGAGAGAGAGAGAGAGAGAGAGAGAGAGAGAGAGAGAGAAGAGAGTTTTATTAACTATATATAAGGATTACTATGCAGCCTGACAGCCTTTATTTCACATAAGCAAATTGACACTTCTGGATTGAGCTCTAAGCAAAAATTAATTATAAAGTTATTCTCAAATTCCTGGTGCTAGAATCAAGATACCCAGGCTTCCTTGCTCCCAGTGTCTTGGATTACCCTCTGTCCCACCCCAAAAGTCCAGAACCCCAACTGGGAACCAAGGAAGGTGGACTCTGGAGCCCCCATAGCTTAGGGGAAGATAGATTCTACTGAAAGGCTAGGGGTGACACTGAGGTGGAAGTGCACAGGGGTAGCCAAGTGGCTGTGAGAAGGCACCGACTTCCCTTCTGAGGGAAGAGGCACACATGTTGGAAAAAATTACCTTCTGTATGACTCATGACTCCCTCGCCATCTTCCAGTGGGAACAACTGAGCAGCGTGCTTAATGGAAAGGGACTGAGCATAAAAGTGCCTCCCACATACCACCTAAAACCCTCTCTGCTGGGGAGAAACCATCTCCCTTTGCCCCCCGCCCCAAATCCCACAGCCTGTGAGTGCAGTGGTCTACATGGCAGGAAGGACTGCTCAGACACAAGTAAACAAAGAGCCTGGGGATGGAGACTATGCTTGAACATCGCAGTGGGTTTGGTGTCTTTACACAGGTCCTCAAAGCAGAGGCGTTTTCTGGGCTGCAGGCAGAGGGAGACACAATTGGGGAAGTAGGGTCATACAGAGTAGCATTGCTGGCTTTGAAGATGGAGGAAGGGGCAGAGGCAAGGAATGCCAGGTGGCCTTCAGGAGCTGGAGAATGGCCTCCCCTTGGGGACCTCCAGAAAGGAATGCAGACTCGCCATCCTTGTTCGCAAAGCCTGCTGAGACCTGTGTCAGACTTCTGACCCCCAGAGCTGGAATATAATATTTCTGTTGTTTTAAGCTGCTACATTTGAGTAGTCTGTTACAGCAGAAATAGGAAGTTAATATATCTCCTAATTAGAGATTAATTTGGGCTAATAAGCAATAACTCCTACAAAAAAAGAGCTGCGTGCCGTCGTCCAAGTTAACCTGACCACCAGGCTTCCTGAATGTGAGCTGCAGGTTAAGAAAGCAGAGGGCGAGGAAAGGCTTAGAGGCAGTTTTTGACTGAAAGCACTGTTCTGAGTTTGAAAAAGAATTCTAGTGAAGGTAAAATATAAACACCCTCAAGAGACGGGAAAAAATGACACAGTGCATGGGAAAAAAAAAGGCATTTCATCTTCCCCTAAGCCCGCTGAGAGCCAGTCCTGCTCATCACCTTCCCCAAGACGGGTATGTGTATGCACAGTAGAGAAATGAACTCGCGGGCACAACCCTGAACCGTCCCTGCCTGCTGCCACCCAAATGCGCAGGAGAGGAGTTGTCTGCACTTAGAAATGCTTCACAAACCCAAAGTCCATCCTTTGCTGACAGAACCAGCTTCACTGAAGGCACTTGTGGGGAGTCTCTCTGAGAAAGCCCATGGTGGCAGAAAAGATCCAAGAAAGGAAAGCCTCTAATTTAACAAGAATTAGGATTTTCTACTCATTTATTCAACACCTATGAATTAGGTACAAGGCGACATAACATACAAAACACAGTGTGGATGCCAATAAACTAAAATTCCTGTTTAAATCTTATGATGTTGGTGAGAGAAGGTACAAAAGCTGATAGTCAATCAGAAGAAATTGATTTTTTATAGAAATTACCTTTACATAGTATTAATCAGAAACCATTTATCATTTTGCTCCAAAGAGGCATATGCTACTGTTAAGTGCTTCCTCGGATTGTTAATAAATGAGCTGGTTCTTAAGTGATCATAATGGAGCATAATGTGTCTAGCACAGTACGGCAGGAAGTAACAATATTATAAAAGAAAAAAGGAGACTATACCTGCAGCTCAGGTCCCCTGTCTGGCATTAACCCAAAATGACTTAAAATTTGTTCTCTCATGTTATCCGGGAGTGAAGTAAACCAGGACATGGACTGCTGATAAACCACATCATGAAGAGCAGTGAGTTCCTCACACTCTGGGCCTTCCGCCTGATCAAGAAAAAAGTGAGGACCATTTAACAGTTCATTATTACACATGGAATATGGTTAGCGACCTCTGCTGCATCTGCTAAGTGGATCTGTGGTATTTATTACTTTGATCATCCATTAGTGTTTTGTAAACAAAATATATGCTCGACACAGTAATTGCCACTTTTTTTACATAGTGGAGATTGATCTACCCTGTTTATAATATCCTGATTTTTCGGTCAATACTGTACCATAAGGACCTAAATTGTGTCGTTATGAATAATTTTCAATGGCAACGTGCAATCATGTATTTGAGTTATACCAACATTTACTCAACCATTCACATAGCTACATTTACACTGTTGCCAAGTTTTTATTTTTAAAAATAACACGGCACTATAAATATTTATGCAAAAGTGGATTTTGGGTTTTTTAAGTTTTCTTCTATGGTGACAGAAGGGGCAATAGATCCCTTAAGATAGCTTTCCAGAAGCAGAATTACCAAGTCAAAGAGTTAGACATTTTAAAATTTGTATTCCAAGTTACCTATTTTCCAAAAGACACGTGGCAGCAACATGTGTTCGCCACATTAGCTTTATGCTGGTGGTGGGCCCACGTTTTAGATTGGCCTGCTTTGCTTCTGGGTACTTATCTTGCTGCCCAGTCACTCTCTTTAGTAGGTCTCAGCCCTCCTCAGGACAGCCGAGGGGAAACACAATGGACTGGGTACCAGGGGACCCAGGTTTGTTCTGGCTTCATCACTGACTCTCACTTGTGAATCTTAGTCAGTTGCCAGCCTCCTTAGGATAGAGTTTTCTAACATGTAAAATGGGAATAAACCATTCAGGTCCCCTCTAGTTATAAAATTCTAGTATCTATGAAAACTATGGTAAACTGAAGGATCGAATTCTAATGCATATAAGCATTTTCAATTTGATTTATACTCATCAAATATTCATATATAGTAGAAGATTTTCTTTTAAAAGACACTAAAATGATTTTATGTTGTAGTTTAGACTCCCATTTCAAAAGAAATACATACATCATTCAAAGCCGTCAACCACAACAAGAGCTGACAAACTCTCTCAGTGCAGCAGAGAGACCCTGAGAACCATCACAAGGATTACAGTCTTTAAGCCCAGCAGCCTGGTCCCCAGGCCTTGGACTGTGACTCGCTGTGCCCTGCTCTTCCACACGGTGAGGCCCTGTGCTCATAGAAACAGCAGCTGGCAAAGGGACAGAGCTGGGGCCCTTCTCACAGGTGACATGAATGCACACTGCTGTCCCCAAAGTGACATCTAGTGTGATGTGAGCTTGCCAGACTCTTGCTTTCCACATTTTCAAATGTGAACCAAAGAATTTGAAAGAGGGATACAATCATTCCAAGGATCTCTTCCTCCTAAATATTTTTAATGTTTTTGCTGTGGTATAATTTACATATAAAAAATGCACAGATCTTAATTGTTGAGCTCAAAAAGGTTTGTCGACTGTACACCACAGTGTAACTACCACCCTAAACAGGGTATAGAGCACTTCCATCACCTAAAAGGATTCCTGTTGGCCTTAACCTCACCCCACCCTTTTCTCTGACCTCCATCACCAGAGTTTTGCCTGTTCCTGGAAGTACATAAATGGAGATCCATAGCATGTATTTTTTGTCTCACTTCTCTCATCTGCCATAATGTCTCTGAGATTATTCCTTGCTGTTCTGTGGGTCAGGAGTTCATTGTTTTCTTATTGACAAGTAGTATCCCACTGTACAAACACACTACAATCTGTTTATCCACCACCTGTTGGTTAGCATCTGGGCTGTTTCTAGTTTCTGGCAATTAATGACTAAGACAGCTAAGAACATCCTCGTACAAGTCTTTCTGATGATCCCTTCAAAACATTTTGCTAAACCATCAAATTATGTGGCTTGATATTTTTATTAGACACATAAATAGTTCCTAAGGGGTAAGATGGACAAGCCTCTTATATTTAGCATTAGAAGGTGTTTTTAAGCACTATTGTTTTATATTGCGTCTCCTTCTGAACTAACACCAGTATCCAGAACTGGGAGTGACCACTGCTCACAAGTCAACTACTATTCATCAAGTGTTTTTGTCAATAATTTTATTGGAAACTAGTCATGCCAACTCATTTGCATATTGTCTGGGGCTGCTTCTTGCTGTAACGGCAAAGTTTAGTCATTGCAACAGAGACCACATGGCCTGTAAAATCTAAAGTGTTTACCGTGTGGCCCTTTACAGTAAAAGTCTGCCAACCCCTAGACTAGAACATCAAAACAATGAACCCAAGCCCATTTTGGAATGCGTGGCAATAAGGTGATTTTTTTCAGGAGAGGAAAACTACCAGCTCCAACTCAGGTAAAAAGCCACTAATAATAGAGAGCTTAAGTGCTGAATTAAGGAGGAGATAAGTAATACTGTCATTAAAAATCTGGCCAAGTTTTTCCACAATGCAGAGGGAACTAAGGTGACTGACCTCTTTAACATACCCCAGTAAAACAAACCTCACCTTTTCATCTTCAAGATACTCGATGTCTGCTGTGTTGTAGCCGTCTCGGTGACGGAGGCTTAAGACTCTGAACCGACTAATGCCAATTGCGTCCCCAACTGAGCTGCCATCAGGAAATGTCCTGACGCCCTTAATCTCCAGCATGCAGCAGTACTCTGAGATCCTGAAAGGACAGTTAGGAGAAATGACCATGGTTTTTAAAGCGCATGAGGTCTTCATTTTTCCCTAGATGTGGAGTCTGGGTCTTACTGTAATAAACAAACAAAACAAATGGTGTCGCCACATCGGACCAGCATGGTTATTCTCTAAGAGGCACTTGCAGGCAATTCCTTCTGTTAAATGCGACACACACTGGCATGCAGTGGCTACAGAGGAAGGGCTGGAGCTGAGAGAGCAACATGCCTTAGCTATCCAAATCGGCCAGTGTTTTCAGGTGGACCCGAGAGATGGAGAGAGACAGAATCTCAAATCACCATCCCCTGGGCCAGGGGCACTGCCTGGGCTCCACACAACCTGCTGGCCCCCCAGGTCACTCACGGACTCAGCCTCTCCTCCCCTACTTCCACGACACTGGCCAGCTCTGCCCTCCCCACCAAGTCCTAAGCAGAGTCATCCATATCCACTGCCTTCATCTCTTTGTCTCTATTCCATGCCTCTGTACCCCAGCAAAAATCACAAATGACTTCAGTATGACCCTGACCCTGCTGACCTGCTACTGACCCAACATCGTCTGCGGCTCTTTCACCCCCACTGACCCGTCCTTCCGCACATGTCCCTTATACACTGGGGCTACCCAGGATGGCATCCTTGGCTACTCATGTAGCCTCCCTTTAAAGCCCTCTCAGGTACCTTACCTGCTCTCATAGTTTTAACTGTCTTCTGTACCCCGATGATACTGTGCCTACTGCGTGTCAAACTCTACCCAAGGCAGTTTATAACATGTGCTCATTCAAGCCTCACAAAAACATAAAAATGAAACAATTTATCTAAGGCCCCAGTAAAATTTAGAGCCAAGATCTGATCCCAAGGCTACGTGATTCTGAACTGAGTGAACAATTCACTACACACCTTTAATTATGAGTGATGGTTCCCAAGTGACATGCCTGTATGGCCAACTGCCTACTAAATACCTCCACTGGGATCTCTGATAAAACTATCTCTTCCTGATGACCTAAGGAAACTGTCCTAGCCACAGCTATTAACAGAGACCTCCAAATGTCAGCTCCTCCAAAGTCTGTATCAGTTGCAGCTGTCTCTCCGTGGGTATCTCATCTTGCCTGTGAACAAAAACACCTGAGAGCAAACTCCCCTTGCACATGTAGCTCCCAGGGATCTAGGCTCTCATGCTTGTCCACATAAGGCCATTAGAAATTTGTTTTTTAAATTAGCTGAATTTTTCCTACATACTCTAATATCTCCTTCTCCTGGGCTCGGCCACAGGTGAGCCAGGACTCCTGTCTACTTTCTCCCTGGGGGTCCATCTTTCTGAGCAGCCTCTGCTCTCTGAAAGGCTCAAGAAACTTATGTTTGTAGTTTATCTGGAGTAATGCTCTTTGCAGTGTTCTGTACCCTTATGGAAGTAGGACTTCTGGAACTTGATTTTTCACTTTGCTTTTGCTGATTTTGATGAATCAAATTTTGATATATTCATATTTATTAAACTCTTCCTCTATGCTACTCTCAGCATCTTATGTAAAAAATAAATAAATAAATAATCCCTATTCTAATTATAAAGACAGTCTCCAATATTTTCTCTTAAATTTATATAAATATATATATACACACACATATATATATATTCACATATACATATGTATATATATATATATATTCACATTTCACATTGGGAGTATAAAATGTGTTCTTTTGTGAGTATGGTGTAAGGCAGAGATTTCTTTCCTCATCTGGACTACCCACTAATTTTCTGAGCATTTTTTATTAAGTAGTTTCCCTTTTCTCAAAAGTAATGTATAACTTTGGAGTCCATGTTAGTGGATGTTTCTTTTTTATCCCAGCTTTATTGAAATATAATAAACAATTAGTTGCTCATATTTACATTGTACAATTTTTTTTTTCAATTATAGTTGGCATACAATAATATATTAGTTTCAGTTGTACAGCATAATGATTAGAGATCTATACAACTCACAAAGTGGTCACTCCACTAAACCTAGTACCCCTCTTTCCCCTGACATATTAATTACAATGTTATTAACTATTTTCTTTGTTACACTTTATATCTCCATGTCTATTTTGTAACTATCCATTTGTATTTCTTAATCCCTTTGCCCCTTTTCACCATGCCCCTAACGCCCCTCCCTTTTAGTATCCCTCAAAATAGTCTCTGTATCTATGAGTTTATTTCCGTTTTTGTTGTTATTTTGTTCTTTAGATTCCACGTGTATGTGAAACCATGCGATACTTGTCTTTATCTGAATTATTTCATTCAGTGCAATACCCTATAGGTCCATCAAGGCAATATCTTTTTCCATCTCCTTCCTTTTAATCTGTGTGTGTCTTTTAATCTGAAGTGAGTCTCTTGTAGGCAGCATATGTAGGGATCTTGTTTTCTTACCCATTCAGCCACTCTATCTTTTGGTCGGAACACTTATTTCTTTTCCATTTGAAGTATTTGTTGACAGGAATGTAGTTATTACCATCCTTTATTCATGTTTTTGATACATGCTTTTTCTTCTTAAAGAAGTCCCTCCAACATTTCCTGTAATACTGGGTTGGTGTTGACAAATTACTTTAGCTTACTTTTGTCTGGGAAGCTCTTTATCTGTCTTTTGACTCTAAATGATAGCTTTGCTGGATAAAGTATGCTTGGTTATAGATCCTGGGTTTTTAACACATCAAATATTTTGTGCCAAGCACTTCCATCCTGCATAATTTCTTTTGAGAAATTAGCTGCCAGTCTTATGGGTGCTCCCTTATAGATAACTGCTTTTCTCTTGCTATTTTTAAGATTCTCTTGTTGTTTTAACCTTTGGCATTTTGTTATGATGTGTCTTGGTGTGGGCCTCTTTGGGTTCTTTTTTGGGACTCTGAGCTTCCTGGAGTTTTATGTCTATTTCCTTCGCCAGGTTAGGGAAGTTTTCCATCATTATTTCTTCAAATAGCTTTTCAGCTTCTTGTTTTCCTTCCAGTACCCCTATGACATGGATATTTTTACATTTAATTGTGTCCCACAGGCTCCTTAAATTATTATTATAGTCTTGGCTTCTTTTATCTTGCTGTTCTGACTGACTGTCCTTGGCTTCCCCATCCTCTGTATCTGTGGTTTGATCCTCTTCTTTATCCACTCTGCTTACTCCAATACACTTTTCATCTCAGATAATGTTTCTTCATTTCTGACTGGTTTCCTTTTAAAATTTTCATTTCCATTTTTATGTTTTTTATCTCTTTGTTGAAGTTCTCACTAAATCCATCTACATTTCCTTAAGTTCACTGAGTATCTTTATAACCAGTGTTTTGACCTCTGCATCTGTTAGATTGCTTGACTCCATTATTCCTAGATCTCTGTTCTGTCCTCTTATATAGTTTCTTCTTTGCCTTCCCATTTTGGCTGCCTTTCTTGTGTCTGTTTCTATGTACTAAGTAAAGCTCCTAAGGCTCCTGGTCTTATTAAGATGGCTTTGTGTAGTAGGTGTCCAGTGGTACAGTCCTGAGAGGGCTTCGGCTGCAGGCCAAGTTTGGCCCCACCCTATGCTCCTCTGGGATTCAGCAAGCAAGCCATAGATGCTGTGGTTATAGGTGCCTCAGGAGGCCACACCAGAGACCATGGTCAGCTGCCACCAGTGGGAGTCTTGGTGCTGGCTTGGCAAGGAGCACCTGACTCACTGAGAACACACCTAGATGTGGCTTGAGCAGGGTTGCAAGTTGAGGGAGATGGCGTTTCAGGGAATCCTCTGGGCAGAGAGACCTCTGTTATCCAGTTTGATGGCATCTTGGCTATGGTGGCACTACATCCGCACACTGGTGCGGGCAGGGGTCAACAGAGAAACAATGGATACCGCCGGCACTTCTGCCCAGGAGAGAGCCTCACCTTCTGCCCTTGCTCCAACAACTCAGCATGCTCCTGTAATTTCCTGGTGCCCCCCATGCAGCCTAACCAGCATTGGTGCTCAGAGCAGGCAGGTCCATCACCACGAAAGTCCACTCATAGATAGGGCCCCTTTAAGAGGCGACCACAGCTGCCACCTCTGTCCCACTCAGCCCCTGGGGACCAGGCAGCCTGGTGTCTTCATCCCCTCCTACCTCCTCCCATTGCAGGGTGATTTCTTATTTCTCTCCCTAGTCGTAGGGCTTGTTCATCTAGATCCTAGGCGACTTCCCTTGCTGTTTGCTCCATATTTCTGTCACAACTTTGATTTGGTCACAAGAGGGATGAACAGACCCTCTATCACCTATGCCATTTTTTCCCACCTGTTTCTTATCTCTATACTGTATAAGTGGTCTTCTTATAGTGACTTATAAGTCTGACAATATAGGAATATTTTCCCATCTTGCTCAGCTGGGCAGAACTATCAGAGTCTTGGTCTTTGGCTTCTCCACACCGATTCTAAAATCAGCTTAAGCAATTCCATGGAAAAACACTCCTGGGATATTTACTGGAACTACGTTGGATTTATTCACTAATTTAGAAAAACTAGCATCTCTCTGACATTGAGTCTATGTATCCATGACATGATATTTCCCTGCATTTATTTAGATCTTCTTGAGTGTCTTTCAACAAAGTTGTAAAAGTTTTCTCATAAAACTACGCATACCTTAGAGATGTATTCCTAGGTATTTGTGGTGGGAACTAGTGGGTGTCCCTTTCTTCCTGGGCACATGGCAGACTACATTTCCCAGCCTCCTTTGCTGTTGGTGAGTGGCAGTCACATACCCTTTTCTCTAGAGCCCTTTAAGAGCAAATGTGCCTCTTCTACCAGTTAGAACTTGGATGCAGTGAACATGCTATGACCATGCAATGCTGACAAAGCCCCAGGGAGTCAGGAAGCCAGGAGATGGGAAGGCTCCCCAGTCCTCACAGCTGCCCAGGGAGAGGAGCTGCCTGATGAATCAGAGCTCTTCCCAAGTCAAATGATGTAAACAATGGGAGGTAAACTGAAGTAGAGAAAGGTTTCATGGATGATGTGGCCTTTTATTAGACCATAAAAGTTGGACCAGACTCTTTTGTATAATGATGAGCTATTAGAAAAGGGCAGGCAGAGGGAAGCAGAAAGGTATGAAGACATGAACTGTATTTAGAGAAGTGAACCAGAAGGTATGACACATGAAAGGAAGGAGCAGATAAGGCTGAAAAGGCAGCTGGGATCACATTGTGGATGGCCTGGAATTTATCCTTTGTGATATAGTAGGAAGCACTGGAGATTTTCAACATCCTAAATTGTTCTTCAAGAAAAATGACAAATTATACATTTAATTAGGACCCTCTGAAGCCTGATGATTCTTACCCTGCGTGCTCAGCAGATAAACACATGCCGAACCGCTTGGTGCCAGTTTCCATGCATCTTCTTATCATAAGCCAGTAGCAGGGCTCAAAGACGTGGAGTGGACAGGGGACGGTAGGGAAGGCCATGTCACACACAAAGATGGGGACATCTCTGGTCAGACTGTAGGGTGAGGGAAAATGTGAACTTAGGTGTAGGAGTTGCCAGGAATGGAAGGGAATACTAAGCACTACAAAATAGCAAAAGCTAGTCATTTTCGATTCTCTCATTTGCAGAAACAACTCTCGGGCCTGCCTCAGTCTTAAGTGGTAAAGAAAGCCAAGGACCACAGCATGAGACAGTCCTCAGCTCACCCGGACTTCCTGCCAAGCCCGATTTAATTTGACAAGAGAAAACATGCTGAATATATTATTTTACTTAAAAAAGTTATAACTTATGACCACCATAAAAAAAATTTGATGAAGACAAAAACTACAGAGTAGTCAAAGGTAACGAGTTCTAAATTTAAAAAGTAGAATTATAAGATCTCAGCAGTTAAAAGTTAGTACAACATAAAACTTTAATTACTTTAAAAACTAAAAAACAACTGTGGAGCCTATTTTGCGTAGTAATCCTGTTTTCACTTCAATTTCTATATACTGATATACTGTGTGTTTTCTAAAATATTCAATATCACTTATTTAGATACATAAAGCAAATATATAATTTTGTTAAAACACACTTCTGAATTATTTCTTATAACCTCTTTCAATTAAATTTCCATAAACTCTTTACAATTATTATTTTTTTATTTAAAGCTAATTTCTCTGCCAAGGGAAGAGAAAAAAACTGAGATAGAGCTATGAGGTTAATGAGGATTTTCTTTTTTAATCTGAACTCAAGATCAAGTACATACAGCCTGAGGACTTACTTTGACAGTTCCGTCATTTCTTCATCATAAATCCTCTTCCTATCAGACAGTTCATCTGACAAATATCGAAATATTAATTCTTCAGCCAGAACAGTTATATTAAAATTTCTGCTTGCCAACAACTGCAACAAAAGAAAATGTTAAAAAATACCACATGGTAATTAACTCTAAAGGACAAAGCACTCTCTTTCCAAGAATAAAAGTCAACTAGAAGATAGAGGAGTGGAGTCTGAGAAGACAAAAAAGGATGGGAGTTGAGAGCACGGAAGTCAGCCGGTGGGTGGATGGCGCAGGGCAGCTCCCCGCTGTGAGAAAAGGGCAGGAGAAGGTGTCCACCTGTAGCGAAGGTGTCCAATCCTGATGGCTTCTACACTTCTAGTCAAATGTCATAATACCGGGGAGGGGAGAAGAAGTGAGTGGGATGTGTTGGGAGAGAAGAGAAATATGAAATAACAATGTTGGTGAGTGAAACTACAGAAGAATAGTAAGAATGACTACTAATGTGTTGAGTCTAAGATTTAAGATTGTGAATTTAAACTGAAACCTATCTTCCCAATTTTGTTGTTTTTCTCTAGCTTTGCTACATATTTACACGGACACACGCTAAAGGCAGAGCTCACTTTACTGGAACTGAGAAAGAGGGTGAGGGACCAAGAAATTAAAGCCAGATGTGTAGAGAAAGTAGGCGGAAAATGAATGAAAAAGTACCAGGATCAATGGGTTGAAATGTCACATGTGCCTGAAAAACTATCACCTTGTGTGTGCCTTTTTAGCTCCAGCATGCAGGTTGTAACAAACAAGTTACATGTATTGCTAGAACTGACTATGAACTAGGAGGTCAACCTCTAAAAACAACTGTTTGAGAACCTCAGTCAGAAAAAATACTCAAAAAGCATTCACCATCATGACACACGGTACAGAGTACAATGGTAGATATTCATGAGAACGCTGAATAACTTAGAAAGACTCAGGACGTATGTAACTTAACAAAGCGAGTATGTACCTAAAATGTTTTAGAAACATTTCAACAACTTATTTTAACAAGTTTTAGTAGGAAATTAAAAAGTCACAATTATTTAAATATTCATGTAAGTATAATCTCTTTTGCCATGTCAGCGTTAAAAAGAAATGCTACTTTATTTTTTTAAAAAAACACTTTAGCCTACTTAAAATGCATTGTGTGTTTAATCTCTAGGAGATAATTAAAGCAAATATTATTAGTATCATTTTTATGGAATAAAAAAACCCCTCCTACCCACCACCCCGCCCATGAAATTAAATAACTTGCTTCATGGAAAGCTAGTGGAACCAGCACAGCCAGAACCTAATACAGTTAATACAAACTCACTATTTGAAAAATTGATCAGAAAGCCTTTGGCTTTTAAATGTTGTTTATTGTGTTTACTATACCTAATGCATGGATTTAATAGCTTATAATTTGAGTTAGACATAATTAAATAGCTTCCCATAGAATATGAGTTTTACTGGGTTTGAGTTCAGACAAAAAAAAAAAAAAAAAGACTTAAAATTGCCAGTGCACCACATGAGACTTCCAAGTAGTCAGAAATGATCAAGTCTTTAATCCTTTGCAAAACTGAATACTGTAACATTGCTCCACCTTGAGATGAGGTAAAGGACAGGGTCCTCAGTGCAATTAAGTGGCCATGACATCATCGCAGGCCTTGATGATGAGCACACAGTGACAAGTCAGTAATATCATCTCGACTGCTTACAGTTAACACATGGGAAGAGCCCCAATAGCGCCAGCTATTTTTAATATATCTCAACTGTAGTTCATGCCTGAAATTTTCCTTGAGATTTAGTTGTTTCTGTACTTAACTTCTCCTGTGTATGTTTTGAGAACTCATTGAGATGGGAAAAAGACCTGTCTTTGACGACAGAAATCCAACTTTCTTTAATGGGTACTGGAAGCTAACAGACTCTCTGGAAATGGACACCGAAGGGAGGATGAGAAGAGGGGCTGAACTGTCTATCATTTCGCAAGAAATACTTACTTCTGAAAGTTTTTCTTTGCACAATGGGCAATGTGGGGCATGGTCGAGGCAGCGCTCAAGGCATTTTAGGCAAAATGTATGTCCACATGGTGTGGTGACAGGCTCAAAGAACAACCTGGAGAAAATATCTGAGATTTCAGTAAATAGAGACCAGAAGAGACTTTCAAATAAATAGTTTTGTAATAACTATTCCCTTACAGTTCTAGAAATCACTTATATCTATTTTCACTGATATCTTTCTTATCAAGTATTTGGAAAATAAATCAATTATTGCTGAGGTATACATAATTCCTCTGACAATGAAAAGCCCATTACATTTATGACGTAAATTTAGAAAAGCTGAATTTTTCAGACTTGCACAGATCCTGTGTCATCCTACCTCACGCAAAGGGCACATTCAAAGTCAGCTACATCTACCAAGAGTCTTGGACGTCCTCCTATGTCAGAGTTTATGTTCCTTTGAGGTAAGGAATCTGTCTCTGAAAAAACTGAAAATGCTATAATTAACAATTGCACATCTGGATCGCAGCTCGCAATAAGTATTTCCTCTTGATAAAATGTGTCACCGCAATGTAACAAGCCATGCCAGACAGGAATAGTTCCAGTCCAATTAACAGTATGTAGTAATAATTAGTTGTACAGTAAGCATGACTAAAAGTTAAAGTTATGCTAAAATATTCTATGCTGTTTTTGACTATGAAGTCCTTACAGGATTGACCATTTAACTGTTCTATAATCTTGAAGCTGATATAGTCATTTCATTATTAATTTTAAACTGTATAAAAATTTTTAAGAATATATTGAATATTAGGTAACACTCGATCACTCTGGAGTCATACACCCCATGACAAAACAGCTTACTGACCTTTCTTGGGGACTTTTCCAGGGGTGTCAGTCACGTCATGAGCATCCTTTAAGTCATTTGGAAACTGTCTCTTTAAACCGGTGTTGGGTGCTATTGGAAGAATACTTTCTAACACTGCTTTATCCGCCTCTTGGTGCAGACTCAGTATAAAATATAAAACTGAACAATTGGTATTTCTAATCACATCAGATTTCTCAGATGGGTTCTGGTTAAGTAGGAAAAAAGAATCCTGAATATTAAAGAAATCATAGCATAAAAGAAAAAAATTCATGCAGTCGCCCTTAGAAAGCTTTGGAAAAAAGAGGGTTTATATCATTCCTTCACAATTGGTTTCATCTATTAACTTTTAACATGAACTTTATATACTTTTCGTGGTAAGATATATGATAATTTCTTCTTAAGACAGACCAATTAAACTTTGGTCTTATATACTCAAATCATCCTTCTGCCTTCTTTTCTCTGAGACAAAATAATTTCAATGTCCTGATGCTTTGGGTTGTTTGGAGATGTTCTAAACTTTCTTTCAATCTTCAACCATTTTCATTACTTCACCAACTTTCTTTAAAAGTTTCAACCCTCAGGTTGAAGAGATAGAACTGGTCTTGAGAAATACTTCTAACATAATGCCACAGTCTGAATAACTTGCAAACATTCAGAAGCGAGGAAATACATAAAGCTGAAGCAAGATAACACTGACAAACACATGTACTTCATACCTTAGAAGTCTCCACCTCACCACCTTCCTCCAGAAGAGGCTGGGTGTTTATATGGCTGTGACACTGAGCCTTCAATCTGGTGTTCAACATTCTGCTTTGGATGGAAGGTGTTAAATTTTGATGCACATTTTCTGAAGCTGGAAAAAACACCCCACACATAACCTATAAAATTGGCAAGAAGAAAAAAAAATATTTAAAATACTTTTGAAAAATATATGTCTAAACGACTCAGAAGAAGCTATGAAGCCAAACATGCCTAAAATATTGAAAACAATAATTACCATATTCCAACTGCCAATAGTTTAGAATTCAAACGTTTCTAAAACCACAATGTTTTAAGCATCTTATCTCACTGCCCACTTCCATCTTAGTCTTACCAATTACAAAATATGACCATCACAATTCCTTTCTATCTGGTCCTCACACATCTGCTACAGCAAATCTCCCCCAAAAGTCTAATGGATAAGAGAGAAAAGTGGGGTGTAGAGGTTGCAAGGGGTCCTGGACTAAATCTAAGCTGTGATCTCCAAGGTTGAGATATTCATAGAGGACTACTCAGTTTACAAGAAACCAGACAAGCCACCTAGTAAAGAACTTTAAAGGAAGAGGTGATGGGCTATAACTCTGGTTCTCAAGAACCGTGGACCAGCTTTGGGTGATGGTGGTAAGTGACTATATCACTTGATGATCCCACTGAACCTCAGGGACCCCGCTGAATCCAAGGGCTTACGAGAGGCAAAAATGAGCGACTGAACCCTAACAAAGAATCCCTCCATTGTGCTTCACCTGACAGGAGAGTGTGCCATGATCCATGACCTCTGCAACAGTGAGGAACAGCAGTGTCCTCAGCACTGGCTCTGAGGAGCTTCAGCAGAGCTGCGGGAGGCTGCCAGGGAGGGCACCATGCTTCACGGGCATCACCAAGCCAGTATGATTTTGGCACTGTCTGTGACAGAAGATCTCTTACTACCCGCAGAATTCGGGAGGGAAAAACATCACGTATGAACAAAGCACCAGAAAGACAAGAACCCACAGAGCCCAAATCCTGGCCCTGGGACCATCGTGAATCTGCTTAACCTCTCTGAGCTCAGGCAGAATGCCTCATGGTACTGCTGGAAAGATCAGCTGAGATGAGATATGGTATTGTGAAATTTGCGGGTGGGACAAAGCAGGCTGGGATAGTGAAATTAGCTGACTCTAATAAGACTGGGCTAACGATCTATATAAAAGAGCAGACACTTCTACATTGTGTTGGTGAAGCTTTGCTGAAAATTTCAATCAACCTATGAAGCTGAATTGATACATTTTGCATGTATCACAATGTCTTTTATAGAGCTCATATACAAACTATAATACTTAAAATTACAAATGCTAGGAAAGAACATTTTGCCTCCCCAGACACATGCATCCACCTTGCCTCACCAAATGCATGTCATTTTCAACAGAATTGAGATATGTGTATGCTATCTCATGAAACATTCTGCTTTATTCATGGATGAAAGTTGTTGAATGTATGAACCTTATCATTATTAAATTGTGGGTTTTTAATCATATTACCATGAATATTCAGAATTGTATTTCTGTTTATTTTACATACAAGAGTGACACAGCATGGACATGAAAGCTGTAAATAAGACTAAGAAAAACAGTCAATTATAGAAAACCACACCTTCTGTGCTTCTTTCTTCACTGAGTTACATTCAGGATTCAAAGCAAGGCAATAAAGAAACTCCTTCAACGCTTCCTTACTTCTTCCTAATCCAGAGAGGGCCTGAGCTTTCATGTGATGTCCCTGGGTTCATCAAAGGATTAGATATACGTTTAAAAAACACACAATTATATACTTGCATATGAACAGCCCTGAAACAAAATGTTAGAACTATTAGTTTTATTTTCATATTAAGTAGAATTAACAAAAACTCACCAAGAATGGCTCTAGCTCTGCCATCTCAGAAACAGAGCAAACTTGAATGTCTCATTAATAGAATCTATAATCAGAACACAGGAATCACCATATCTGGAATCTGAGCCCAAAGCAGGTCCCAGGGGCAGGCTAAGAAAGAACTGGCTGTCTACCAACTTTAAATTCACTCAGTAATCACAGGTCACTACCAGGTTCTCATCTTTAAGGAGCACAGTCTCATGAGAGAAGACAGACAGGATGAGAAATAACCACAGCATAAAGCATAATATATGAAGTACCACAACAGAAATTAACAAAATGCAATGTGAAGCAGTATTTTCCAATAGCATTTTGCTTTTGTTTTATGGATGCTATATTTTCTCAAATTGCTAAAAATACCATGGTTGGTTTGTTTTCCTAGATCATGTGTTACATTTCCATTAGGGTCAGTTGTTATCTTTTTCTTCTGTGCTATTAGACTTTTTCTTGTTGATCCCTGGTTCCTTTATCATAGTTAAGAAAGATAAACTATTTCCAGCAGGTTTTCTCATACTAACTTAGAACCTTTGTCCTCAGACTCCCTTGCTAAATGGAAGACTTATGGGTCCTTTGTCTACACGGGTGAGACCTATTTGGGAGATTTCATTTTCAAATGTGTGGCAGGAGGACTAGGCCTTAGCTAGTAGCCCCTTATACCAGGATAGAGAGGGGCTTACTCAGGGGGAACCACCACATGCATTGGCAGCCATACTTTTCCCAGGTATTTTGTCCAAATTCTTTGGAGGGGGATCCCGTGATTTTTTTCCAATACAGCTCTGCATAGAAGAGTGAACTGGCACTGCCAAGTAAATCTCATTTCTTACTCCTATCCCTAACGCCTAAATTAAATCCTTTCTGGAATGTGTATTATGACCCGAGTTAACCTCTCATTTGGAATGTAAAGTCCTCTGCTCTTTCCTCCACTCACGCACATTCCAAAAATGTGCTGCTCTAACTCCATAAACATTCCCCACTCGCTTCAGTTGTTAACTTATGGTTTTTACTTTCTGTCCCATTTTTATTAAATTAATATATATATTATATATATACATAATAAAATCCATCAATTGTAAATGTATACTGTGGAGAGTTCCGACAAATGTATGCAGTTGTGTAACTACAACCACCTCACAATATAGCAGCAGTCCCCAACTTTTGTGGCACCAGGGACCGGTACACCTATGAGAATTTAATGCCTGATGATATTTCTGTCGAGCTGAGGCAGTGATGCTAGCACTATGGGAGCGGCTGCAAATACAGATGAAGCTTCGCTTGCTCACCTCCTGCTGTGCAGCCTGTTTCTGAAAAGGCCACAGACCAGTACCAGTACTGACTCACAGCCTGGGGGTTGGGGATGCCTGTGCTATAGCACATTTCTATCACTCCAAAAATGCCTCTCACAATCTTTAAGGTCAATTTCCTCCTCTCTCTAAGTCTAGGGACCACTGATCTATCACTATAGTTTTGCCTTTTTGAGAATTTCATATAAACAAAACCACACATCTATGTTTTGTGTGCCTTCCTTCATTTAATGTGATGTTTTTGAGATTCATCCACATTGTTGCATAGATCAACACTTCATTCTTTTCTATCGCCAAGCAGCATTCCATTGTACAAAATATTATCATTTGTTTATTTACATTTTTTTAGAAAGAAATTTTGTTAGTTTCAGAGCACTTCTGGCAAGTAAATCACATGATGAACAAGAAAATTTTAAGTTACCTGATATATGCTGACCTGTAACTTTGCTCAAATCAGCAGTTACAATGGGTCGTGTGCATCGCACAGTTTGCCTGTTTACCTCATTGAAATGTCTCAGGATTGACAGGTTAGGGGAGTTAGAGAAAACATACTGTCATGGAGCCCACAACTAAAAATTTAACTTCTATATGTTAGATAAACTCTGTTTTTTATCCAAATTTATTGAGGAATAACTGACAAATATAAATGTGTAAAAAGTGTAGTCTCTGACACAATGATTTGATACACATATATGCTATGAAACGATTACCATGATCAAAATAAGTAACACATCTACAACCTCACATAGTTAACTCCCCTGCATGTGGTGAGAATGCTTAAGATCTACTCCTAGCAAATTTCAAGTATGTAACACCCGTCCTATTAACTACAGCCACCACACTGTATATGCTGTATAAGTGAGGTTCTCAGAACCTACTCTTCTTATAACTGAAAGTTTGTTTCCTTTGACCTACACCTCTCCATTTCCCTTCCCTGACCAGGTCCTGGCAACCACCATTCCAGTTTCTGTTTCTATAAAATCCATTTTTAGATTCCACATATAATATTAACACTCAGTATCTATCTTCTCTATCTTATTTCACTCGACAAAATGCCCTCAAGTATTTCCGCATTGTTGCAAATGGCAACAGTATTTTCTTCTTTTTTAAGAATGAATAATATTCCTGTGTGTGTATGTGCCACACTTTCTTTATCCTTTCATTCATCCACAGACACTTAGGTTGTTTCCGCATCTTGGCTATTGTGAACAATGCTGCAGTGAACATGGGAATACAGATATCAGTTCAAGATACTGATTTCGTTTTCTTTGGATAAAGGGAGATTGCTGGATTATATGGTAGTTCTATTTTTAATTTTTGGAGGAACCTCTATATTGTTTTCCATAATGACTGTACCAATTTACATTCCCACCAACAATGTACAAGTGTTTTCTTTCTTCTACATCTTTGCCAACATTTGTCATTTCTTGGCTATTTGATATTAGCCATCCAAACAGGTACAAAGATATATCTTGTTATGGTTTTGACTTGCATTTCCCAGATGATTAAGGATGTCGAGCACCTTTTCACGCCATCTATTGGCCATCTGTACATCTCCTTTGGAAAAATGTCTATTTGAGTCCTTTGTCCTTTTTTAATCTCATTACTTGATTTTTTGCTGTTGAGTTGTATGAGTTTTTTATATATTTTGGATATCAGCCCATTATCAGATATATGGTTTACAAATATTTTCTCCCATTTTCTCCTATCTTTCTATAGTTAATCTTTTCAATTGATTTTGTCCTTTGCTGTGGAAAAATTTTTAGTCTGATGTAGTTTCACATGTTTACTTTAGCTTTTGCTGCTTGTGCTTTGGGCATCTTATCCAAAAAACCATTACCAAGACCAGTGTCAATGAGCCTTTTTCCTATGTTTTCTTCTAGGAGTTTTATAGTTTCAGGGCTTATAGTTATGTCTTTAAGACATTTCAAGTAAATTTTTGTGAGTGGTGTAAGATAGGGGTGCAGTTTCATTCTTTTGCATGTGGATATCCAATTTTCACAACGTCATTTATTAAAGAGACTGTTTTTCTCATTGTGTGCTCTTGGCACTCTTGTCAAAAATTAGTTAACTGCATATGCAGAGGACGTACTTCTGGTCTCTCAATTCTGTTTCACTGGTCTATGTGGCTGTTTTTATGCCTGTTTTTATGCATACTGTTTTGATTACTATAGCTTACACTATAGTTTGAAATCAAGAACTATGATTCTTCCAGCTTTGATCTTCTTTCTCAAGATTGCTTTGGCTACTAGGGATCTTGTGTGGTTCCATTTGAATTTCAGGATAGTTTTTCTATTGCTGTAAAAAATGTAATTAGAATTTTGATACAGATGGCACTGAATCTGTAGACTGCTTTGGGTAGTACAGATCTTAAGAATACCAATCTTCCAATTCAAAAACATGGGGTAGGTTCCATTTGTGTCTTCGATTCTTTCATCATTATCTCAATGTTTTCAGTGTACAAGTCTTTCATCTCTTTAGTTAAATTTATTTTGAACTATTTTATTGTTTTCGATGCTACTATAAGTGGGATTGCTTTCTTAATTTATCTTTGGATAGCTTTTTTTTAGTATACAGAAATGCAAATGGTTTTTACATGTTGATTTTGTATCCTGCAACTTTAGTAAATTCATTGATTAGTTCTAACAGTTTTTTGTGGAGTATTTGGTGTTTCCTATATGTAATATCATGTCATCTACAGAAATAATTTTACTTTCTTTCTGATTGGATGCCTTTTATTTCTTTTTCTTGACTAACTGCTGTGGCTAGAACTTGCAGTACTGTGTTGAATAGAAGTGGTGAGGGTGGGCATCCTGGTCTTGTTCCTGATCTTAGAGGAAAGGTTTTTAACTTTTCACCACTGACTATGATGTTAGCTGTGGGCTTGTCACATATGACCTTTGTTATGTTGAGGTACATTCCTTCTATAATTTGTTGAAAGTTTTTATCATGAAAGGATGTTGAATTTTGTCAAATGCTTTTTCTGCATCTATTGAGACAATCATATGATTTTTAGCCTTCATTCTGTTGATGTGGTGTATCACATTGATTGATTTGCAAATATGGAACTGTCCTTACCTTCCAGGATAAATCCTACTTGATCATGGTGTATGATACTTTTAATGTGTTCCTGAATTTAGTTTGCTAGTATTTTGCTGAAGATTTTTACATATGTTTATTGGGGATATTGGCCTGTAATTTTCTTGTAGTGTCTTTGTCAAGGTTTGATATCAAAGTAAATGATGGCCTCGTAAAATGAGTTTGGGAGCCTTCCCGAATCTTTGGTTTTTTGGAAGAGTTTGAGAAGGAGCAGTATTTGTATCTCTTTGACTATTTGGTAAAATTCCCCTGTGAAGCCATCTGGTCTGGATTTTTGTTTGTTAGGAAAGTTTAGGTAAGTTCTAATTACTGATTCAATCTCCTTGCTTGTTACTGGTATGCTCAAATTTTCTATTAACTTCATGATTCAGTCTTGGTAAGTTGTATGTTTCTAGAAATGTATTCATTTCTTCTAAGTTATCTAATTTGTTGGCACATAATTATAGTCTTTTGTGATCCTTTGCATTTCTGTGGCATCAGCTATAGTGCTTCCTTCATTTATAATTTCATTTATTGAGTCATTTCTCTTTTTCTCTTAGTTTAGCTAAAGATTTGTCAATTTAGTTTATCTTTCCAAGAAATCAACTCTTAGTTTCATTGATGTTTCTGTTGTCTTTCAGGTCTCTATTTCATTCATTTCTGCTCTAATAATTATTATTTTCTTGCCTTATGCTAAATTTGGGCTTAGTTTTGGTCTTCTTTTTCCAGTTCCCTGAGGTTTAAGGTTAAATTGTTTGTCTGAGAACTTTATTTTTAATGCAGGTGTTTAACACTGTAAATGTCCCTCTTAGAACTGCTGTTGCAGCATTCTATAAGTTTTGGTATGTTGTCATTCCATTTTCATTCGTCTCAAGATATTTTTTGATTTCCCTTTTGATTTCTTCTTTGACCCATTGGTTGTTCAGAAGTCTGTTATTTTATTTCCACATATGTGTGAATTTTCTAGCTTTCCTCCTTTATTTTCTCCTAGTTTCATACCACTGTATTCACAAATGATCAAATGCAAAGGCCTGTTTTCAGGTCCCTATCTTACCTGACTTCTTTCTCGATTGTTTTAAATGCCATAAATGTGACCAGTTTTGATCTCTAGCATCAACATTTCTAACATTTACTGTCTATTTACTGTACCACTTATCTCCCAGCTCCCTGTGAGACTGGTCATTTCAAAAGACGTGGCAAACATTTGGACACAAGCTCAACAACATCATCCTTGAGCTCCCTGAAAAGCCTCAGGTATACTTACAGCCTTCAGCGATTCATCTATGCAACCGCTTTAATTTTGTGTAAACATGCGAAGTTTAACTAATTTTCTTATTCTCCTTATAACAGTGTGATCTAGCTTTTGTGCAACCTGAAGCTTATACAATTGGAATGTTCTTTTTAAGAAAAAGTACTAAATTATGAATAAATAGTTACCAGGGCCCTTCCTAAGCATTATACAGATAAGGGGCCCTGACTCTGAAGCTTCAGTAGCTTGTAAATCTGCTCTGCTTATCAAAAGTTTTAAAAGAATAATACCATCTTATATACACAAAGCTCTTCACAGTTTGAAGTTTTTTACAGAAGTACATATATTATCAAGCAATATTTGCATTTTTGACATTGTATCCATAAATGTTTATTAATTGAATTAACTAACTTTTAAATAGTTTTTAATCCTACAGGTTTCCTCTTTGGGTAAGATCAAAATCACCATGTGCCTATTTATATTTCTGTGTATGGGCAAATATTTTGTTACCACTGGCTTGTCTCCATTTGCACCGAAGTTTTAAATCAGTATCAGCCACAACTGACTGCTTAAAAAAATAGTTTTACCTGGGGAAACACATGCTAAAATAGCCCCCAACTGGAATCCTAACATTGGTCCTACAAGTGCTTCCATGTCCTCTTAACTTTAGTTGGCCAACTTTACACTCCCCTCAGTCCTTTCAACTTACCTTCCAATGTTACTTCTTCCTTAATCCTTTAGTAATAATATGAACCTAAAAACAAATTTCTATCCTTTACTATCTTAAAGTGATTTATCAGGGTACATTTCTGATAAAGCTGTTCTTCACTAAGCATTTATCAAAAATTGAGGTCCACAGATTTGCGATAAACCCTAAAGATATGACCAAAATCCCAAAGGCTAAAGATTTATTTGCTGCCTCCCTAACAGTTATAATTATCAATGTAACTTTTTAGTAATTAACTTTGTCTTTTTTTTTAGGAACACACTGCCAAGTTTTTAGCTCAGAGATCAATATCATGGCGGGGAATCTAGCTTCAGAGGGCAATGTAGGTCTACTATCAGTCAGAAACACTAGACTTAATTCACAACAATTAAGCTTCAATCATTATGCATAGAAATTACCTCAGAAGAACAACAGATCCAGGGATAGGAAAAAAATCATTAGAAAATGGAGTAAAAAATGTTTTCAGTGAGGCAAGCAAGCAACAAAAGAGATTTCTAGACTTGGTCCGATAAACATTCCTATCCTTCATTTCATCCCCAAATTCAACTTAACACTCAATATAATCTGAAAATATTTTGATGGTTGGATAAGATGAAGGAAGGAAGAAAGGAAGGACAAAGGGCAAGCAACACCCATCTTGTCTATTAACTATGATTAGTACCTCTTCAATGCTTCTAAAATAAAGATGATAAAAAGCAATATAGCAGGAGAAAAACTATTTTTAATTTTTATCTAATAGAGCATACTATAGGTATTAATTTCATCACAAGTTCTTTAAAACATTACAATCTCTTACAGGGGTTTCAAATTCAAAGATTTGTGAAAAAAGCTACAACTTTTATTGCTTGGCTTCTTAATCTTCTTCAAGGACAATGTAAGCTATCATTATCAGGTTAGCAAAGCTTATTTTGTGTCAGCAGAGGAAGAAATATTAGACTTTTCCAACACAAAGACTTAAATTACTCAAAAACACATACAAAAGAGTCACCCTTTTACTAACACCATTTATATGCTCCATGCATATTAGGGACCTGTTGTTAATCATGATATGACCTTTCTATTTAAACCATAATTTTAAACATTTCCTTTTTACTCACAAATTTATACAATTCTGTTATTTTGCTCATATATTTATTTTGTGTATAAGGCATATTATTCAGCCTTTCAAACACATCTAAATTTGTGTTTCTTATTTAGATCTAATTGCAGACTTGGTCTTTTGAACAAAGTTGGTTTAGTATAAAGTGATTACTACATTTAGACTACTATAATTTGAGGGAAATGTACATGGTCTATAGGTATTTAATCACAATTATCTTACTTTATTCTTAAGAAAATCTCATAAACTTACATTTATTTTCTCAAAGTCAACCAATACAAGTACCTTAGTCAAGAGAGGATCATTCTGACAAATGGCACTGGCATCCTGTAGAGCCTGCTCATAGTTCTTCATGGTTAAGTATAACTCTGCTCGTAACAGCAATAAGGAAATATCCCCAGGAGCTGAAAGACATGAGAGAAATAGAAACAAATAAAAATGACTGAATTTAAAAACAACTCATTAGAAATATTAAGTTAGACAATAAACATAATGGCAAAATAAAAAATGTCGGGAGCCTTAAGCCTGCAACTGCTGGCACAGCCCACCTGTTTCTGACTAGCCAAGTAGAAGTCACCTCATCTGGTGGACGCCAATGAGCTTGTAACAAATACTCTCTTCCCTGATCAGTCCCGCCAGATCCAGGGATAGGAAAAAAATCATTAGAAAATGGAGTAAAAAATGTTTTCAGTGAGGCAAGCAAGCAACAAAAGAGATTTCTAGACTTGGTCCGATAAACATTCCTATCCTTCATTTCATCCCCAAATTCAACTTAACACTCAATATAATCTGAAAATATTTTGATGGTTGGATAAGATGAAGGAAGGAAGAAAGGAAGGACAAAGGGCAAGCAACACCCATCTTGTCTATTAACTATGATTAGTACCTCTTCAATGCTTCTAAAATAAAGATGATAAAAAGCAATATAGCAGGAGAAAAACTATTTTTAATTTTTATCTAATAGAGCATACTATAGGTATTAATTTCATCACAAGTTCTTTAAAACATTACAATCTCTTACAGGGGTTTCAAATTCAAAGATTTGTGAAAAAAGCTACAACTTTTATTGCTTGGCTTCTTAATCTTCTTCAAGGACAATGTAAGCTATCATTATCAGGTTAGCAAAGCTTATTTTGTGTCAGCAGAGGAAGAAATATTAGACTTTTCCAACACAAAGACTTAAATTACTCAAAAACACATACAAAAGAGTCACCCTTTTACTAACACCATTTATATGCTCCATGCATATTAGGGACCTGTTGTTAATCATGATATGACCTTTCTATTTAAACCATAATTTTAAACATTTCCTTTTTACTCACAAATTTATACAATTCTGTTATTTTGCTCATATATTTATTTTGTGTATAAGGCATATTATTCAGCCTTTCAAACACATCTAAATTTGTGTTTCTTATTTAGATCTAATTGGAGACTTGGTCTTTTGAACAAAGTTGGTTTAGTATAAAGTGATTACTACATTTAGACTACTATAATTTGAGGGAAATGTACATGGTCTATAGGTATTTAATCACAATTATCTTACTTTATTCTTAAGAAAATCTCATAAACTTACATTTATTTTCTCAAAGTCAACCAATACAAGTACCTTAGTCAAGAGAGGATCATTCTGACAAATGGCACTGGCATCCTGTAGAGCCTGCTCATAGTTCTTCATGGTTAAGTATAACTCTGCTCGTAACAGCAATAAGGAAATATCCCCAGGAGCTGAAAGACATGAGAGAAATAGAAACAAATAAAAATGACTGAATTTAAAAACAACTCATTAGAAATATTAAGTTAGACAATAAACATAATGGCAAAATAAAAAATTTCTCCCTCCAATACTATTTAGAGTTTAGTAGTTTGATACATATATTTTACACAGCTTCTTTTGATCTCTGTGTGGAAAGACACACAAAGACTGAAAGTGAAGAAATGGAAAAAATATTCCATGCAAACGGAAGCTAAATGAAAGCTAGGTAGCTATACTTATATCAGACAAAATAGAATTTTTTTAAAAAAGACTCTAATAAGAGACAAAGAAGGGATTAAATAATGATAAAGAGGTCGATCCAACAAGAGGATATATTTGTTAATATTTATGCACCCAATGAAGGAGCACCTAAATATATAACGTAAATATTAACAGACCTAAAAAGAGAAATAGACAGCACTACAATAATAGAAGAGGGACTTTAATATCCCATTTTTATCCATGCACAGATAATCCAGACAGAAAATCAATAAGAAAACACTGACCTTAAACAACACATATATCAGACTAACTTAATAGCTCTATACAGAATATTCTATCCATAAGAGACAGAATACACATTTTTTTCTCACCTGCTCATGGAACATTCTCCAGGATAGATCATATGTTAGACACAAAACAAGTCTTAATACATTTAAGAAGAATGATGTCACAGCAAGCAACTTTTTGGCCATAATAGTATGAAACTAGAAATCAGTTATAAGACAAAAACTGGAAAATACACAAAAATGAGCCAATTAAATAATATGCTACTAAACTACCAATGGCTCAAAGAAGAAATCACAAGATAAATTAAAAAATACCTTGAGACAAATGAAAATGCAACATATCAAAACTTATGGGATGTAGCAAAAGCAGCTCTAAAAGGAAAATAACAGTAGATGTTCTACATCAAGAAACAAAAAAATCTCAACTAATCAACCTAACTTTACACCTCAAGGAAATAGAAAAATAAGAACAAATGAAACTCCAAGCAAGCAGAAGGAAGAAAATAATAAAGGCCAGAGCAGAAATCAATGAAATAAAGACAAAAAACACAATAGAAAAGATCAATGAAACTAAGAGCTGGTTCTTTAAAAAAAAAATAAAATAAACAAAAGTGACAAACCTTTAGCTACATTCACCAAGAACAAAAGGAGGACTTATATAAATAAAATCAGAAATGAAAGAAATGTTACAAATGATACTACAGAAATACCAAGGATCCTACGAGAGTACAATGAATAAATATATACCAGTAAGTTTGATAACCTAGAAGAAATGGGTAAATTCCTAAAAACATACAACTTACCAAGACTGAATCTTGATATAGAAAACCCGATCAGGCCAACTACTATAAGGAGAACGAATCAATAAACAAAAGTCCAGGACAGACAGCTTCCCTGGTGAATTCTACCAAACATTCAAAGAAGATTTAATATCTATCCTTCTCCAACTCTTCTAAAATAGTGAAGAGGATAAAAAGCTTCCAAACTCATTTTATAAAGCTAGCATTACCCTGATGCCAAAACCAGACAAGGACACAAAAGAAAATTATAGGCCAATATCCCTAATGAACACAGATGCAATATCTTCAATAAAATTTTAGTGAACCAAATTCAACAATACATTAAAAGAATCATATACCATGATCGAGTGGGATTTGTCCTGGGATGCAAATCAATCAATGTGATACACCATATTAACTAAATGAAGGGTAAAAATCATATGATAATCTCAAAAGCATTTGACAAAATTCAACATCCATTTATAATAAAATGCTCAACAAAGCAGATATAGAGGAAATTACCTCAACATTAAAAGGCATACACAACAAGTCCACAACCAAATCGTACTTAGTGAAAAGCTGAAAACTTTTGCTCTAAGATGAAGAACAAAACAAAGATGCCCACTCTTGCTACTTTCATTCAACACTGTACTGGAAGTCCTAGCCAGAGAAATTAGGCAAGAAAAAGAAAAGGCATACAAATCATAGAAGAAGAGGCAAAACTGTCACTATTCACATATGACATGGTGATATGTATTTTTAAAAACCCTAAAGACTACCAAAAAATTGTTAGAATAATCAAATTCAGTAAAGTTGCAGGATACAATATCAATATATAAAAATCTGTAACATTTCTAGACACTAATAATAAACTATTAGAAGAGAGATTAAGAAAACGATCCCATTTGCAATTGCATGAGAAACAATAAAATACTTAGGAATAAATTTAATAAAGGAGGTAAAAGACCTGTATACTGAAAACTATAAGATATTGATGAAAGAAATTGAATAAGGCACAAATGGAAAGATATTCCATGATCACAAATTGGAAGAATTAATATTGTTAAAATGTCCATACTACCCAAAGCAATTTGCAGATTCAGTGTAATCTCTATCAAAATTCCAATAACATTTTTCACATAAATAGAACAAATAATCCTAAAATTTGCAAGGAACCACTAAAGACTCTAAATAGCCAAAGCAATCTTAATAAAAAAATGAATTAAGTTGGAGGCATTATGCTCCCTAATTCAAACTACGTTCCTAAGCTATAGTAATCAAAACGTAAAAACAGACACATGGGTCAATGGAACAGCCTAGAGATCCCAGAAATAAACCAATGTATATATGGTCAATTGATATATGGCAATGGAGCCATGAGGAAAAGATATTCTCTTCAATAAATGGTGTTGGGAAAACTGGACAGCCACATGAAACAAAATGAAAGCGAACCACTGTCTTATACTATACATAAAAAGTTAACTCTAAGTGGACTAAATACTCGAATGTAACACTTGAAACCATAAAACTCCTAGAAGAAAACATAGGCAGTAGGCTCTTGGAGATGATTTTTTGGATTTGACACCAAAAGCAATGGCAACAAAAGCAAAAACAAATAAGTGAGACCACATCAAACTGAAAAGCTCCTGCTCAGCAAAGAAAACCATCAATAAAATGGAAAGGCAACTTTTGGAATAGGAGAAAATATTTGCACACCACATATCCAATAAGAGGTTAATATCCCAAATATATGTGGAACTCATACAACTCAACAGCAAAACAAACAAACAAACAAACAAAAAAACAGCAACAAACTATTCAATTAAGAATAGGTAAAGGATCTAAATAGATATTTTTTTCCCAAAGACATACAGATGGCCAACAGGCACATGAAAAAGTGCTCAGCATCACATTCATTAGGGAATTGCAAATCAAAACAAAAAGATATCACCTCACACGTGTTAAAATGGCTACTATCAAAAAGACAAAAAATATCAAGTGCTGGTGAGGATGTGGAGAAAAGAGAACCCCTGTACACACTATTGGTGGGAATGTAAATTGGTATAGCCATTATGAAAATCAGTATGGAGGTTTCCTTAAAAAATTAAAATAGAACTACTATATGATCCAGTAATTCCATTTTTGAGTATTTATCCAAAGAAAATGAAAACACTAACTTGAAAAGATATTCACCACCAAATATCTATTGATGGGTGAATGGATAAAGAAACTGTACATATACACAATGGAATGTTATGCAGCCAGAAAAAGAAGGAAATCTTGCCATTTGCAACAACATGCATGGACTTTGAGGGCATTATATAAACTGAAATAGGTCAGACAAAGAAGACAAATACCATATGACCTCAATTATATATGTAAAATCTAAAAACAAAACAAAACAAAAAAAAACAAACTAAGAAATAGAGAACAAATTAGTGGTTGCCGGAGTGGGGAGTGGGAGGAATGAGTGAAGTGCGTCAAATGGTACAAACATCCATTTATAAAATAAATTAAGTCATAGGCACAAAATACACAGCCTGGTGACTATAGTTAAAAATACTGTATTGTACTGTACCATACATAAAAATACTGTATTGTATATTTAAATGTTCAGATCTTAAAAGTTCTCATCACATGAGAAAAAAGTTATCATGTGAAAAAAAGTTTTTGTAACTGTGTGCTAACAGATGTTAACTAGAGTTATTATGGTGATCATTTTGCAATATATACAAATATTGAATCATTATACTGTAAACATGAAACTGCTATATGTCATTATACTTCAATAAAAAAATCAATTGAAAATGTTCATCTGATGATTATGATTTGTAATGAGATTCTGCATATTTCACCTTTGAAAATACACATATGTACTATGAAATACTGATGTCGATTCATAAGCATATGATTTTAAATTGAGCATTTCATTGCTTGGAAGGTATTTGTAGAATTCTGTTAGATTCTTCTCATGATATTTGTCTTTTTAGTATGTCATTATATACTAAATATATTTGCAGATTAACTATTTCCTACTGAAGATTAAGTAAAACTCCTTGCCACACAGTTAAATGCATTTTGAAATTCAGAAATCTCATTTGGAGATTTTTGCAAGTCTCAAAAAAAAAATCCTGTTGGAACTATAGTTTGAGCTTAGAAAATATGTCTGCTGCATATTTATGTGAGAATGAAGACTTTCCATCTTGTTTGTACTTTGCTAAAGTTGATTCTCTTGAATATTCTAAGCAATTACATCACATGTGAATAATTAGCTTTGACTCTTGCATTCTAATATTTATACCTAGTATTTCCTTTGACTCTGATGTTGCAATAATAGTAATAGTAGACATTTTTCTCTTATTCTCGAATTTTTAGAATGTGTCTAATATTTTAACCTGAAGTGTGAACTTGAGCGGAAGTTATATATCTCTCAGAAACTATAAGTTTTGAGAGAATATTTATCAAATTTGGTAAGTTCTCTCCTATTGCTAATAATCTATGAGGGCATTATAACAAATAGGTGTTAAATTTTATGGAATGCTCTGTCAGCATCTGAGAGATTACCTATAGATCTTCTATCTGTTACTATAATGAACTACATTCAAAGATTTGTCTAACACTGAATTATCTTTATATTCTTTAGAAAAGTTCTTCCTGACTTCTTACATTGCTGAATTCAAAATTCTAAGAAATTTAATTAAGGTTTTGGTATTTATGTACTTATGTATTTATGTAGTAGCCTATAAATTTTTTTCTGTGCATATGTTCCCTGATTATAGTATCAAGATTATACTAACCTTATGAACTGAAATGAAAATCTTTCCATATTTTTCCATGATCTGAAATCAGATGGGAGTTAATTTTCCTTGAAGATTTGTTAGGACTTGCTTCACCTTAAGAATTGTTCACAAGAAAATATATGAGTAGCATTTCAATTTCTTTTATGGTTAGTGGTCCATGTCAGGCTTTTGCTTCTTCCTGGATAAATTTTGGTAATTTATAGTTCCCTTAAAATTGTCCTTTTTATATAGATTTTAAAATCTGTTATATTCTTTTATATCTGCAATAATGCTTCATCTTCGTTCTTGATGCTATTTGTGCTTTGTTTTCTTCATTGCATTTGCTAAACATTTGTCTTTTACTGGTCTTTGCAATAAACCAGTTTCTGACTTCTTAACCCACTCCTTGTTCTTGCTTCACTAATATCTTCTTCATTATTCCATTGTTTATACTTTGTTAGCTTAATTGATCTTGACAAAGTTTCCTAAGTTAAAACACATTTACATTTATTTTTAATCCTTTTTGAATGAAGCCTCAGCTCCTCACATTTTAAAGCCTGCTTTCACTGAAGTCCGAAAGCAATAAAATTCACTTCCTATGCAGAACCCAAATGAATCGAACTGTTTTCTTTGCTGATTTCCACCATTTGGCAATCCATTTATGAAGGCAGCACTTCATAATTTAATCTTTTAAACACTTCAGGAGGGTAAGAGTCCATTCCGTGTTTGTGCTCAGGGTTGATCAAACGTTCTCCTCCAGTTCCAATTCAGAGCCATTGTCATGCCGGAAGCCAGGGTCACTGCTGTAAAATCTGCCAAATGAGTGGGCAGAGGTGAGAACTGAAGAACTGTGTAAGTGTTATTTTAAAAGGGCTGAGTGAATTGACACATAAAGCAATAACAACTGGGTAGTGTTCCCTGTGATTAGAAAGAATAAATGGCAATACTCCTCAGAGGTTATTTGTTCCAATTGATGCTGGACTTACAAGTCCACAAGTCTTAAGTGTATATGACCTCAACTTTTACACACATACACCTGTGTAATTACCACCCAAGTCATTTCCTGGACCCAAGGCAACTCCTTTGTGCACGTTCTCAGTTAGTGCACCTCCCCTGAGGTAACTACCATTCTGGCCTCTATCACTACAGGTTACTTTAGCCTATTTTTGAACTTCTTATACATGGAATTATATAAACGGAATGTACTCTTTTGTCTTGGACTCAATATCATTCTGTGAGATTTAGCCATATTGCTGAATGTGTCAGTAGAATTTAAAAAAAAAAAACTGCTTTGTAATATTATAGTGTATGACTTATTTATTCATTCTACTGGTGGGCTGTTTCCCAAATGCTTTTGGCATATATAAATAAAGTTATGAACTTTCTTGCACAGTAAGTCCTCACTTAATGCTAACAGATTCTCGGAGCTGTGGTGAAATGACATATAACAAAACCAATTTTACCATAGGCTAATTGATACAAACAAGAGTTGAGCTCCTATGGCATCTCATCATTATAACAAAACAACTTTGAGTGAAATGATGTTATTTAAGGACTGCCTGTATATGTCTGTTGGTGGACATAACATTCATTTTTATGGTATATAATCAGAAGGGGAAATACTGTGCCAGAGGTTATACATGTTTCACTTTAGTAGATACTCCCAAACGTATTTCTTAACTTGTACCAATTTATACTTCCACCAGCAATATAAAAGTTCCAATTGCTTCAAATACTTGCCAAAACTAGGTATTGTCAATCTTTTTCCTTTTAACCATTCTGGAGGATATGTAGTAATATCTTATTTTAGTTTGTTTGCATTTGATCACCATTTTGGTCACCCTTTCATGTTTATGACCCATTCTGAGATCTAGTTTTATAAAGCATCTGTTCAAGTCTTTGCCTATCATTTAGACAGACTTTTGTTTTTGAACTGTAGACATTCTTTCAATATTCTAGATTTGTGCTCTCAGTGAGACACATATAACAAACACATATGTGTTTGTGTTTGTTACAAACACATATGTGTTTGTAATATGTATCTCACTTTTGGGGGTCTCTGAGAAACAGAAGTTCTTAATTTTAATTAAATCCAATATATTTATTTTTTCTTCATGGTTATGTTTACCCCAAATATTCTCCTATGACTTCTTTTAGATATCTGATTATAATTTCAACATATGATATGAGATAGGTATCCAAGTTCATTTTCTTCCATACAGATAAGCAAATGAATCGGAGACTTTAAAAGACTTTTTTCCCCATTGAATTCTATTGGCATCTTTGTAGAAAACCAAGTCACTGTACATGTGACAGTCAGTTTTGGGGTGTCTATCCTTGGGCCAACACAAATCTGCCCTAATTACAGCAGGATTATAGTAAGTCTTGGTATCTTATAGTGTAAATTTTCCAGGTTTGTTATTTTTCTTCCGTATCACCTTGGCCATTTATCAATTTCCACTAAAACTACTGGCTGAGATTTTAACTTGAGTTTGCACTGAACCTATAGTTCAGTCTTCAGAGAACTGACATCTTATCAACACGGAATTCTGCAATCCATAATATATCTTTCCACTTAATTTGTCTAATTTCTCCTAGAAATGTTTTTTATTTTTGGTGTAGAGTGTCTTGAACATCTTTCAGATATTTCAGCATTCATTCTAAGGAACTTTTTTTGTTACATAAATGGATTGTTTTGAAACCTTTTCTATTTCTCCTTTACTAAGTGTACAGTTATCAATGATCTTTCTCTATTGACCTTATATCGACAATCTTGCTAATTCACTTACAACTTCTAATAGTTCAATATTCTTCTCAATTTTCTGTGTACTCCATGTCATATAAATACTAGTTTTATTTTATTTTCCCAATCTTGATACCTTTTTATTTTCTCCTTATTGTGCTACGTAGGATCTTCAGTACACCACCAAATGGCAGTGATGACAGTGAATATCCTCGTCACATTTACTTTCAGTGGGAAACATTCCCCATTTTGTCATTACTTATGATGGTTGCGATAGATTTTTGTAGATACTCTTTATTAAGTTTCCTTTTATTCCTAGTTTTCTGAGAAACTAGAGTCATAAGATTTTCCTCCCATATTCTGTAGACATGGTGAATTACATTGGTTGATTTACAAGGGTTAAACAAAATAATATTCCCCTTGATCATGACGTTACTCTGTGATTCATTGAATTAATTTGTTAATATTTTGTTCAGGATTTTTCTATCTATGCTCATAAGAAATACTGGACTAGATTTTTCCTTTCTTCTCATTGACTTTTCCTCTTACCATTTTATCTTTCTTTCTACTTCTTTTGTATTCTATTCTCTTTTCTTCTTCTAGCATCTTGAAATAGAAGTCCGGAGATCACCAATTTTCTAACTTTCTTCTGTAGTATAGACATTTAAAGCAATAAATTTCTAAGCACAGTTGCAATGGCATCCCATAGTTTTTGATATTTGCATTTTCATTATCATTCAGCTAAAATATTTTCTAATTTTCTTTGTGATTTCTGATTTGATCTATAAGATACATAAAAATTTATTGCTTAATTTCCAAATATTTGAAGATATTCTCTTTTTTTATTAAGTTTATTGGGATAACATTGGTTAATACAATTATATAATTTTCAGGTGTACATTATAACTTGACATCTATATATTCTATCGTGTGATTACCAAAGTCCAGTTTCCTTCAGCTATCATATATTCGATCCCCTTTACCCACTTCACCCTTCTCCTACCCTCCTATATTTGACCCCTTTACCCCATCTACCTCCCCCCTCCTCTCTTACCCCCTACCAATTCTTTTTCTGACACTTCATTATTAGAATATAGGAACACTATGGATTTTTGAATGTTGATATCATACCCATAAACTGTACTGTATTTACTTATTATTTCTAGTAGTGTTCTTGTGGAGTTTTTAGAATTTTCTATATAGAGAATCATGTCATCCGCAAATAGCGACAGTTTGACTTCTTCGTTTCCTATTTGGATGTATTTTATTTATTTCTCTTGCCTGATTGCAGTTGCCCCTTTGTAGTTAGTTCCCAGTTCACTTTCTACTCTGATCCCTGGGCTCCGCTGTGTGGATCTCACAGGTTCCTCAGGCAGGGTTATTTGGGATCCTGCTGCAATTTCTTCTCCCCCTCCTCTTGCAGTGAGTTCCAGTTGTGAGAGGCCACTTCTTTGGTCCTCTCAATCTATCCCCCAGACTTAGGCAGTTCTGAGTCCTAGAAGCTGTTATGCTCAGATCACTCTCTCCGACGTGCTTGTGTGTAGGTTAGATGTTATTTGTTGAGTTTTAGATATTCAGCTTATTCTTATTTCAAGGGGAGAAATCTGGGGACATCTTTCAGGCCACCATGCTTCTGACATCACCATACAGGGGTTCTTATGTTGTGCTTAATAATATTCTGTCTCTCTTGAACTAGGTATGATTATACATAGATATATTCATACTATAAAAATTCATCAGGCCGTATACTTACAATTTTACATTTTTCTATGTCTTATACCTAAAAATTTTTACTTTAAAATACTTTAATTATTTATTATTCCTCCTTGCTGCATCTGAAGAACTTCAGATATTCTTAAAATTACTCATTTGATTTGCCTTTTTAAAATTCAGACATGTACGAGTACTGAATAAATTTATAACTTCATATTTTAAAAATATTTTTTAAAATTTTTCTTTTCTCAGCAAAGAAAGAATAATAAGAAGGTGCGAGTGACAGTGAAGCCCCATTTGCTGTACAGAGTAAGTTTCCTCTTAAGGAATTCAGACTTGTTTTTACTTTGAAAATATAGAAGAAACAAATTGTTTTCAATATATTACTTAAAAACTTTTAAAAATTAGAGTTAATAATAATAATTAAAGTTTTTTTTCTTTAGCCTTTAGAACAGCAGCATGGAGTCATTCCTGATCGGGATGCAGAATTTCGTCTATTTGATCGTGTTGTAAACGTGAGAGAGAACTTTTCAGTTCCAGTTGGCCTTCGGGGCACCATCATAGGAATTAAAGGGGGTAATATCTCAGTACTTGACATGTCTTCAACTACATCAATACTGTAAAGTAGAACACAGATTTCTGTGTCATATCTAAGTAGAGAATAAGTATAAGTCAGAAAAAAAAAACAATCCTTTTATGTTTTACTTATTTTTTTTTTTCAGTTTCTAGAGAAAATTCTCCTTTTCTGTCTTGTATAATCATCTAGAACATGATTTTAAAAAGAGGAAGTTGAATCAGGGCTGCTAAGGATTTAGTAGTTTATATATAACATGTTAATATCATACAGGACCTTGGCAGGTGTACAGACATTTTAATGAAACTGAGGGAAAAGTTTCATCACTTCTTAGTTAGGCTTTCATCTAACCTTGCTCAGAGCTTTACCCTAATTGTCAATGTAATCTCTTGCTTTCTGTGGAAAAATAAACAAACATAAAGTATGAGCTTATTTACAGTTAACAGATTTGAATTAAATGTGCATATAAATTTGAATTTTATGAATACAGCTAGATTATGTATATAAAACAGACCTATTCATCTGTTGCACAACAATATGCATATAGTTAAGAGTACTGTACTATACACTTAAAAATGATTACGATGGTAAATTTTAAGTCATCTTCAAAAAAAAAAAAAATGAGAGCATGGAGAGAAAAACAGCTAAGGATCTAAATATGCCTCAGAGGGGTACCTGGAGTGAGCAGCTTTGTGACATAGATTCCAAAAAATGTCAACTCAGCATAAAGCCTTAAATCAGGTGGTTCTTTGTTGTATTTATTTTTTCTTTTTTTTTCAATTTTATTTATTTCTACTCTAATTTTGATTATTTCTTTTCTTCTGCTGATTTCAGGCTTCATTTGTTCTTCTTTTTCTAGTTTGTTAAGATAAAACGTTAATTAGTTTATTTGGGCTCATTCTTTTTTTTGGAGATAGGCCTGTAATGATATGAACTTTCCTCTTTTGACTGCTCTTGCCATTTCCCAAAAGTTTTGATATGTTGTACTATCATTATCGTTCGTTTTTATGTATCTCTTGATCTCTCTTTTTATTTCTTCCTTGACCCAGTTATTCTTCAGAAGCATGTTGTTTACTCTCTATGTATTTGTGGTTCTTCTTGATTTTTTTTGCAGTTGATCCCTAGTTTCAAAGCATTATAATCAGAGAATATGGTTCGTATGATTTTAATCCTCATATTTATTGAGGCTATCTCTGTGTCCCAGTATGTAGTCGATTCTTGAGAATGTTCCATGTGCACTAGAGAAGAATGTATAAGCAGCTGTTTGGGGATGGAATGCTCCATATATGTCAATTATGTCCAGTTTATCTAAGGTGTCATTTAAGAATGTTATTTCCTTATTGATTTTTGTTTGGATGATCTGTCCATATCCGACAGTGGGATATTTAGGTCCCCTACCAAAATAATGTTTTGGCCTGTTTCTCCCTTTAGTTCTTTAGTAATTGCTTTACATATTTCAGGGTTTCCTGATTGGGAGCATAGATATTAGTAAGTGTTATGTCTTCTTGGTGCATTCTTTTCTTTATCATTATAAAGTATTCCTCAGTATTTTTCTTTTTTGCTTTTTATTTTGAAGTCTATTTCGTCTGATATTAGTTCCACCATTCCCACTTTTCTCTGAATGCCATTTGCTTGAAATATCATTTTATACCCTTTTACTATGAGTCTACATTTGTCTTTGGAGCTGAGATATGTCTCCTGGAGGCAGCATATGGTTGGATTTTGCTTGTTGATCCATTCTGCAACTCTGCACCTTTTCATTGGTGAGTTCAATCCATTTACATTTAGGGTGATTATTGAAATATGAGGTCTTCTTATAGCCATTTTATCTTTTGCTTTCTGGTAGCTCCGTGTTTCCATTGTTTCCTTGTCCTTGTGTTTCTGTTTTCTTTATTTTGGTTGGTTTTTGTGGGTTTTGCTTCTGATTCTTGTTTTCTGACTCTATGGCATGTAGTTACCGTTACGAATATGAAAAGGACAGTTGTATATATACAGTCGTCCCTTTTCTTCTGCACGTGCCTTATCTCTATTCCTCTTTGCAAATTTGGATCTTTGAATCCTCCCCTTTTCAGTCATTGTTATCTCAATTTGTTTCTACGTATGCTGAATGTTCATTACTATCTTGCTATAGCAATTCTCTTCTTATTATTTAAGCTTATAATGCCCTGTTCTTAGTAAGGGTTGCATTCCTCTGCTTCTATTTGCTTGATAGTCACTTTACTCCTAATTATGTATTTTTGTTGTTGTTGTTATTTTGTTTTAGGTGAGATGACCCCTTTCAGAATTTACTGTAGTACAGGCCTCATAGTGGAGAATTCTCTCAAATTTTTGTATGTCTGAAAAGGTCTTAATTTCTCTTTCATATCTAAAGGAGAGCTTAGCTGGATACATTATTCTAGGCTGGTAGTTCCTTTCACTTAATAGTTTAAAATTTGATTCCATTCCTTTTTGACTTGTAAGATCTGAGCGAGAAGTCCGAGAATAATCTAATGGGTTTTCCTTTATATGTTACTGTTTTCTTCTCCCTGGCTGCCCTGAGAATTCTATCTTTGTCACAATGTGTCTTGGTGAAGGCCTTATTGAGTTGAGATAATTGGGTGTTCTGTTGACTTCTTGAATTCCAAGTTCCAGCTTATTCCTTAGATTTGGGAGATTTTCATTCACTATTTGTCTGAAAATGCTTTCTAGTCCCTGCTCCTTTTCCTCTACTTCATTAATGCCCATTATTCTTATGTTTCCTTTCCTGAGGGTATCAGCTAGTTCTTGTATTTCTCTTTCATTATTTTTCATTCTTTGGTTTCTCTCTTCAGATTTATTTCAAGATTTCTGTCTTTGATATCACTGATCCTTTCTTTCCTCCATTTGGTCGAACCAAGCTTGCTATTTCATTTTTCAACTCTTACAGTGTGTTTTTTTATCTCTAGAAGTTCTATTTGGTTCTTTTGGAGGGTTTCAATCTCCTTGCTCTGCTCATCTAGCTTTTTTTGCAATTTCTGAAATTGTTGATATGACTCGTTTCGGAAGTCACTGAATTCTTTCAGAAGTATCATCCTAAATTCTGTTACTTAAGTTGCATATTTCGATGTCTTAAGCTCATTTTTCTGGAGATTTTTCTCTTTCTTTCTGAGATGCCTTGTCACCTTGGTTGTTCATGGTGTTTAATGGACTATTTCTCTGCGTGGGCATTAATAAAAGTGTATTCTGTTGTTTTTCCAGGAAGATTTATTATATAAAGGTCTCTCTTTAGCCTGCTGCAAAGAAGGCGCTTTTCTTTTAGTTTCTTTTGGTTAGATGCCTCTTGGATCCTTGCTTTATATAAAGCCTAATGTCTTTTATTTTCTTGTAGATTTTAATCACACTCACTACTCTCAGTTTCAGTCTTTGTCAGTATTAGCTTGTAGAGTTTTGGTAGTATTTGCTCAGATTCCCCTGGGGTTCTGCAGTGATTGGTCTCAGAGGGTATGGGGGGAGGGGCCCTCTGGGTTCGGGGTTGGGGGCAGCAGCTCAGCCTCGGTTTTGCAACTGAGGCTGGTAGAAATCAACTGTTCTCTGCTGTCCCATCCCGCTTCTCTGCTTTCTGCCCTGACGACTGAGCCCTGCTGCCAGCTGCATAGAAAAGTCCCAGCACTTCTAGGCAGGGCTGATCAGGGAAGTCGCTCCACCATCCTCCTGCAAGGAGCTCTGGTGGATGCGAGAGGCAGCTTCCTTATTTGTCTCAGTTCACTGCCCGACACCCAAGTTTCTCACCTGTGGTAGCTCTTATGCGCAGATCCTAGGCTCAGATGTGCATTTTGGGTGTTTTTTGTTCAGTTTTAGATGTTCTTATTGTTGTTTCAAGGGGAGAGATCTGAGGACATCTCTCACTCTGCCATATTTTCCCAGAATCTGAAGATATTTTAGTTATTTGCTACTGAATTTTAGTTTAAGTCCGCAGTGTTCAAAAAACATATATTGTCTGATTTCAGTCTTTTAATGTTTGTTTCAATTTGTTTTATGGCCTAACCCAGGGGTTGGCAAATACAACCGCAGACCAAATCCAGCCCACTGCTTATCATCATGTGAACATGAATAGAAGGTATATTCTGCAGTAGTTGTATGTGCTGCCATATATTAATTAAATCAAAGTGAAGTATATTGTTCCAGTCTATGTTCTATCCTTATCAGCTCACTAAGAGTTTTCTTCAAAATCTCCAATTATCTCTATTAGTTTTGTCATCTTTAGTTCTCTATATATGTGTGTATACCTGATTTTGGCATACAAATTTAAGATTATTACATATTTTCTGTTGAACTGACCTATTTATCATAAACATCTCCATCTCTCATGACAATCCTTGCTTTAAAGACTTACCTTGTCCCATAGTACTTCTGCCATATCAGATTTCTTCTGGTCAGTCTTTATATAGTATCTTTTGCCATCCTATTAACTTTAAACTTTTTATATCCTTATATCTAACATTAACCTCGTGTGTATCTCAGGCAGTCGTATTTTGTTTAATCTAGTTTGTTAACACTTGCCTTTTAACTGGAATATTTAGATGATTTATATTTAATGCAAACTGAGCTCACTTTTCTATTTTTCAGTTGTCCCACTTATTCCCTGCTGCTTTATTCTTTTTACTTTCTTTTGCATTAATCAATATTTATTATTCCACCATAGCTCTTTGATTTTATATTTTATAATCCTTTCAGTGGCTACCCGAGACAATATGCAAACTTGATTTATCAGTATACTTTAAATCAGTATATTTACCACACCCAAAACAATGCACAGGCCACATAACAATTTAACTTTATTCACTCATCCTAGCTTTGTGCTATTGTTACACAATTTGCTTTTATATATGTTATAAATACAAAATATTGTTGTTACTTGAAATAATCAATATTCTCTTATGAATATTCCTATAATTACGCTTCCAGGTAGT